GTATTTTTCACAGAACTAGAACAAATAATTTCACAATTTGTATGGAAATACAAAAAACCTCGAATAGCCAAAGTAATCCTGAGAAAGAAGAATGGAACTGGAGGAATCAATCTGCCTGATTTCAGACTCTACTACATAGCTCATACATTTTAATCAGGATGTGGAAAAGTCTGATAGAATTCTAACCTGTATGTTTAATACATGGTTTTTAACTTAAGGACTTGCAGGAAAGCCTGGTGAGAAAGGAAACAGAGGCAGTCCAGGGTTACCGGGTATAAAAGGACTCCCAGGGCTTCCTGGACCAGCAGGACCACCAGGTATGGCTGATTCCCTAATAGAAATATCAGGTGTTAAGTTTTCCTAGACCTAAGTGTAACAAAAGTGTGTTTCTAGAATATGAATTCTGCCCCAACAGTGTTCCAACAGAAATCTGCTTCTTATAATTTAACCAAATTGTGGTCAGCCTGCATTAACTAAAAATATTAACCTACATGAAGTTCTATTTTGCATTCAAAATGTTATTTTGAAATTGCTGGTATATATTGCAAGCTATCATTTATTACAATATCATATATCCTGGAAGAAAGTAAGAAAATGCTTTAGAGGCCTCTTTCTATTTTAAACAAGTTATTCAGTTTGCAAAGTCATTTTTTAAATAAATAAATTAGTCCCCTATTCCCCATGACATCGCTGATGAAATATATTACATGGTAATAAAATTTCCTTGTTGTATTTGGAAATCTATTACAGTATTGTCACAGTAGCCCCTTCTTTCCTGCTGGCCTTGGTCCTAGGATGATTTTGATGTTTGAACTCCAGGCCTGCTGACCAAAATATAATTTCCTCTAATTGTACATTTTCTGAGTTGCCAGTCCCTTCCCTATTTGAAGGCATAAAGGCAGCTAAACAAGTACCTAAACCAGCTGGTCTGGTTGATCTGGATTCATTCATTTGTGCAAGCAACAAATGTTCATTGAGCATCTACTGTGTCCAGAAACTACACAGAGCCTATGACTATTTATTTGTTCTCAAGGTCCCAGAGGAGAGCCGGGCAGCATTGGGAATCCCGGTGAGCCAGGACCACGTGGCATCCCAGGAAGCATGGGAAACATAGGAGTACCAGGTAACGCGTAAGGTCCTATTGTGAGCCTACCACCTCCTGATGAGTTCTGATTCTACATTTTCTATGTTGTCACTTTGGTTTTCCACTTGGTAGAAAGTTGGTGTAGAACAACTAGATATGCTTTTAGACAAAGGTACTGTATGCAGCAAGAACATGAGAATGAAATAAATATTTACACTGTGCAGAAAATCATCCATTGAGGCTACCTGACACATTAGAGCTTCTGAGAAACCAACTTCATGGGAGAAAGATGGTTTGTGCAAAGGTCAGAAGTAGAATCCTTCAAGATCTCTGCCTTTACCTATTTTACCTGATTTCTTTCCTAATTTCAGGTACTAAAGGAATGAAGGGAACTGTGGGATTCCCGGGTCTAGCTGGAAGTCCAGGCCTCCCAGGTATTCATGGTCTCCAAGGAGATAAGGGAGAGCCAGGTTACTCAGAAGGTGCAAGGCCAGGACCACCAGGACCAAAGGTATGTAGGCCACAGAAGTATTTATGTTTTGGTAGTGGAATGAGTCCTTTTACATATCAACAGCATCTGAATTCATTGTGGGCAAGGAAAACTGAAAACATTACTGTATTTTCAGGCATTTGTTTGGGCTTTTTGTTATGTTTTTTCCTCTCTCTATAACTCAGGATGTCTATCACACAGTTTCAACTTCTGAGTTTATTTTGTCCAGTTTCAACCCCCGAGATATTTCTCATAACTGGCCCTGTAATTTATGCATGCTTCCTGGTGGGCTTCCCTAATGGCTTAGACCATAAGGAATCTGTCTGCAATGCTGGAGACCTGGGTTCAATCCCTGGGTTGAGAAGATCCCCTGGAAGAGGGCATGGAAACCCACTCCAGTTCTCTTGCCTGGAGAATCCCCATGGACAGAGGAGACTGGTGGGCTACAGGTCCTGGGGTCACAAAGAGTCGGACACAACTGAGTGACTAAGTGCACACACACACACAATTGAGGATGTCTATCACACAGTTTCAACTTCTGAGTGTACTTTCTCCAGTTTCAACCCATGAGATAGTTCGCATAACTGGCCCTGCAATTTATGTATGCTGCCAGCAGGAGTCAGGGATCACAGGCCCGTATAAGATGCCCAGGCAGTGTTTGTTTTTCTTATGGCACAAAGTGGTCAGTCTCTGCTCTGGATTCAAATCACACATGCTTAGCAAAATAAATTTCCCAACTTTATAATAAAAAATACTTATTGAACATAATAAAAGATATAAAAAAAAATTTAGAGAATTATTAAAAAACACAAAAATTCTAAGATACATTTATCTTTCTTAATTGTTTTAGAACTTTATTTTCATTGCATTACACAGAGGATTTATTTATCTTGTCCCAGTGTTTTCAGTGCTTGTGCTCTGTTGAAGTCCTCCCTTGTATGTTACATCATGCAGTAACCAAAGGTTTCAGTGGGGCTCAGCTGTTCTTTAGGTTTATCTTCTTCCAACCTTTCTGTCTATAGCAACTACGCTAAGATTCAGAGCAAGACTGAGAGAGAATAGCTAACAGAAATTCCCACAAGTAGGGGGTTTTAACTTGTAATTCCATGGACCCCTGGGGAAGCCTATTGGATCCAAAGAAAAATTGAATCCAGATCGATTTCATCAATCCTGAATTTGAATGAAAACCATTTGGAGACGAGTTTTTTGTTTGTTTGTTTTTCTTTTATAGGAGTCTGTTATTTTTCATCAGACTTTCAAGAGTATGTGATTCCAAAGAATATAAAAATTGTTACTTAGGGAACTTTCTCCCTGATTCTCTTTTGAGCCAATAAAATACCGCCTTTCCTAAAGATTTCCTCCAGCTATAAATCAGCATGAAAGAAAAATTTTTAGAAACCACAAAGGCCCAAGAAAGTAACCCTTTATTACTTGGAGTACAAACAAATTTCCCTTTGCCCTTTATTTTTAACTAGATCCTCAGAAAACCAGGGAGAAATTCTTTCCATTCTTTCCTCAATGAGTAATTGTATTTGACTGAATTCATTCAATTAATTAAGTTTCATTGAGATTTAAATTTTTCATAGGTAACTACAGAAGAAATTTTTTAAAAACTGTACACTGTACACAAAATGAGCTGGCTTTATCATGCTGGCAAATCTTAGTAACAGAGTAGTATTTTAATCAGCTACCATCAAGATTCTGTTAGTCACTATCAAATCCATATGTTCTGGCTTATCATAAAAGCAAGGTACAGATTTAATGAATAGAAAACCATGGAAAGTTTTGGGTTTTTTACATTTATTTATCTGCATGCAGAGTATTTGATGAACACACATCTATTTGTTCTGTTTGTTTCTTACACCTGACTTAAACATTACAATTTGAATGTATACATTTGTGATTAATATCTGTCTCCCAGTGGTCTCTAAAGTTCCATGAAGGCAGGGATTGTATCTATCACATATCTGTATGCAATTACCATCACATTCCTGGCTTCCTGGGCATAGGACTCTCTGTAGCCACAGAGGTCCCATGCTGATAAGGACCCCATGCTTGATTTAATGCTCTGCCATTTCTGTCTTGAATTGCTTTTTAAAAGTTTATTTTTAAAACACAGGAGAGGTGCATTTTCATTTTGCACTGCACCCCACAAATTATGTAGCCATCCTGTTTCCAGCAAGTTTTCAGGGTGCTGGCTCATAGCAGACATTTACCTTGAATTGCTAAATAAATCAATAAATGCAAACTAACATAATTTATACTTAATTCTGATTACATATTCTGCTCATATGAGAATTTTAAAGGTGTTTGACTGAATTTAAGGGAGATCCAGGATTGCCAGGTGACATGGGCAAGAAAGGCGAAAGAGGGCCCCCTGGCGCACCTGGACGTTCGGGGCCTGCTGGACCAGAGGGACTTCCTGGGAGTCCCGGACCCCCTGGCCACCCAGGTGAGCCTGGCTTTGCAACCTGAATGCTGGAAGCCTGACACGTGTATGGCCCTCGCTTCCTAGAATAGTGAATGGAAAGCTGTTTTGTACTACAGTTGCCTTCTTTCACCTTTGATCTTTAAAATCAAAGACACTAAGAAACAACAAATGAATTGCAAGGAGCCCATTTCAGGCCAGTTTGGTGACCTGAAATCTTAAAACTTCCTGTAAACAAAATTTGGGGAGTGCTGCCTCACATGAATTCAACCTAAAGACATGAAATGTTAGCTCAATATACTTAGGATATTTGTATTAGTTTCCTTAGGCTTCCAAAGCAGATACACAGACTGGGTGACTTAAACAGAAATTCATTTTCTCAGTTCTGGAGGCTGAGAGTCTGAGATCAAGGTGTCCCAGAGCTGATTTCTTCTGAGGCCTCTCTCCTTGGCTTATAGGCGGCCTCCTCCTCCAGGTGTCTTTCCTCTGCGTATCTGTGTCACAATCTCTTCTTATAAGGACATCAGTCATGTTGGATTAGGTTCACCATCTGCCTTGGCGACCTCTTTTTAACGTAATTCCTTCTTTAAAGATCCCGCCTGGGAATTCCCTGGTGGTCCAGTGGTTAGGACTCCACTGGGGGCCAGAGTTCAATCCCTGGTTGGCAAACTAGGATCCCACAACTGGGGCAGCACAGGCAAAAAATAAATAAATAAACAAAGACCTACCTCCAAATGCAGTGATATTTTGAAATACTATGTGAAGAAGACTTCGGCAGATGCATTTGGGGGAAACACAATTTAACCTGTAACACTGTTGATCTGAGACTTTTTTTTTTTTCCTGACATGTTTCCAGTTTGAACATTGGGTTGCTTTCTTATTGATATTTGCTTATTTGGGTTCTCACTTCATTTGATCAAAAACACCTACTCAGTCACTGGTTTGCAGCTTCAGGTTTTACCTAAAGGCAATATTTAAACTATTTTTTCCAAACATGGAAAGGTTCAGTGGATTTGCTGCTAAATCCCAATTAAAGTAATAAATCAGATATTCAGCTATCCACCAGGCTGGGGTACGCATCCCTCTGAAAATGAGTGGACACAGCTCTGCTGTGCTTCTCTGGGGAAATAACATCCAAGACAAAAACCCACTATGACTGGTAGCAGGAGTGACCCATGAAGACCAGCTTGAGCACAATTGACTGTAACAACTGACATTTAGCCATTGTTGGAATCATTCATCTTCTGGTTTTCTTTTTTCCTTTCCCTCTCTCTTCATTTACAGGGAAGTCTGGTCCTGGTGGTGATTTGGGGTCCAAAGGAATCAAAGGCTTCCCTGGCTTTCCAGGAATAAAAGGCCCTCCAGGTTCCATTTTTGTATTTTGTCTAGTTCCCTTTTGTGAGGGAAGCATGTTTTCTATGTGGTTGGAATCTCTTTCTACCTACCTGTATCTCTGACCCACAACTGCTCCTTGGAAGGTAGCTTCCAGTTACCCAGTTCCCAGACAGCAGTGCGGAAAAGTAAGGTTAGGTGTAATTCAAAGATCGGGCTTCCCAGATGGTGCTCGTGGTAAAGAACCTGCCTGCCAGTGCCAGAGACATAAGAGACATGGGTTCAATCCCTGGGTCTGGAAGTTCCCCTGGAGGTGGGCATGGCAGTTCACTCCAGTATTCTTGCCTGGAGAATCCCCATGGACAGAGGAGCTTGGAGGGCTACAGTCCATAGGTTTTCTAAGTCAGACATGGCTGAAGCAACTTAGCGTGCTCTCGCTCCCAATTCAAAGATCAGCCAACCTACGCAAAGTGAAAATCCTCATGCTAGCACTAACCAGTCCATGGCTTTCACTGTGAATTTAGCTTCATGTCACTACAGTTCTGAAAGATGAACACTTTTTACAGAATTCCACACATCTGGGGTTCACATCAGGCCACTGATAGGAAGTAAGTCCTCTCTTTGAATGGCCTTTTTTTCCAGGTCCTCCAGGATTGCCAGGAAATCCTGGCCCAGTGGGTGAGAGAGGTAATCAAGGACTTGATGGAATTCCTGGTCCAGCCGGAGAAAAAGGAGAAACAGGTACAGCTTGCTCACCATGGATACACTAGTTTTACTTTTCATAGAATGATTAGTGACACTGTAATTCTTCACCATTCTAGGAATTCTTCCCTGACAGAACTGATGACCTTTAAGTTGTTCTGGGTTGCAATAATTCCGTTACCAAAGTGAAGGTGACCAAGTGGAATAAATTTTATATATAGGTCAATTTCACATTAGGGAATATATATATGTGTGTGTGTTAGTCACTCAGCCGTGTCTAACTCTGCAACCCTGCAGTCCACCATGCTGCTCTGTCCATGGGATTTTTCAGGTAAAGAATACTGAAATGGGTTGCCAGTTTCTACTCCAGGGGATCTTCCCAACCCAGGGATCAAACTCACATCTCTTGTATCTCCTGCATTGGCAGGCAGATTCTTTACCACTGTGCCACTTGGGAAGCCATATATAAATATAAATATATACATATATATATGAAGATGAATATATATATTGCGTTAGTCACTCAGTAATGTTTAACTCTGACAGGTTGTTACTGAACTGTGAAAGACACTGGGATTCTTGGCCTCTGGAGGAGAGGAATTCAATCCGGGGCCAGTGATGAGACTTGACCACTCAGAGCTTGTGTGTGATAAAGTTTTATTAAAGTACGAAAGAGACAGAAAAAGCTTTTGACATAGACATCAGAAGGGGGCAGAAAGAATACCCCCTGCTAGTCTTTAGCAGGATGTTATATAGCTACCAGCAGGCTGCTAATTAGACAAAGGGAATGTCTCAAAACTCAGAGATAGGCACCAGGCCCCTCACCCACAATATGCATTTTGAGATAACATTGGCACAAGGTGAGCCATCCGGGGCCATAAAACGATTGACATGAATCTTGAAGAAAGGCAGGTTTCCAAGTAAATATATAGTTTCATCAACATAGATTAGGAGAACAATGTATGAGTAAAACATGCTGGTTTGTTGAGCCCTTATTGGTTCTGAGTCTTAAGCAGAACTGACTTGAAGAAAGACAGAGTCTAGGGTAAATACATAGTTCATTAACACAGCTTAAGAGAAACATTTCCGTAAGAAAAATGCATTGGTTAGCTCATGGTTTGAGAAGAGTTAATTTCAGGTGGAACCAGGTGTCATCATGGCAACATGGAATTTTAAGAGAAACCTCCTTTTAAATTTGCATAGAGAAGGGAAAAAATCTGACACTTGTAGTTTGTTTCCTCCTGCTGCTTAAGAGAGATAAAAAAATCGTCTGACATTTGCAGCCTATTTCCTCCGTTTGCAGACCCCTAGCCTTCCTGCCTGTTACCCTCTCAACTCTTTGCAGTCCCATGGACTGTAGCTTACCAGGCTTCTCTGTCCATGGGATTCTCTAGGCAAGAATACTGGAGTAGGTTGCCATTTCTTTTCTCCATAATATATATTATATGATATAAATTAAATGTATATATAACATAGTGAAATACAAACATTTTCTCTTTCAGGCTTGCTGGGAGCACCTCCAGGTCCAAGAGGAAAACCTGGTCCTCAAGGTGAGTGGTTCTTCCTCTCAAACCTGGTGATATATATTTTCAAGGACAGAATCTGATTTAATAGCCCTGACAGATACACTTAGCATTTAGAATTAAAGAAGTCCCAGTGGTAACACAGGATATTTATATTCCTAGCAGTCAAGTAAAAACGTTCCATTACTACCATCACAACAAAATGAACACACTAGACACTGTGATCCAACTTTCAGATTTCCATCTATGAAAGTAAAAAGACTTCTTCTGTATTTCCTTCCTTGTATCAGCATGGTTAAATGTATCACCTCCTAAAAAGATGGAGGTGGAATTGACAGCTTCTCAAGGAGTTTCCTCTCCCTGCTATTCTGAGCTGCAGTAGTAACACTAATCTTTTGCCACCTTGTTCTCTTCATTGGTCTGATTCCAATCCCTGGAGCCAGTGTGTGGCTCAGGCTACTGTTTATTCAGGGCTTTCCCATAACTCTCTCAGGATCTCAGACATGGCAATTTACTGAATATGTCATTAAGAACATACACGTTTTTTGTTTGCCTCAGACTATTGCCAGACCCTTCAAGCATCTCAGAGCTTGCAGAGAGCTGAAATCATCTAATTTCATTTAAAAGTATAAATTACAGTCATAAAAAAGAACATGGTAGACAAAGTGTGAGATATTCAGTTTTATTTTCATCATCACATTAAGCATTCTCTGCACAATATATAACTCCCAAGCCCTTACCTGTGCCACCAGCCTCATCCTCACTTTTCCTTCTTCCTTCCATCTTTTCCTATTGTCATGCCATTTACTATTGGATTGGCCAAGTTCATTTAGGTTTTTCCATATGATGTTATAGATTTTATTTCTAGAATATTTCTAGAGTAACACAAAGATGGGAGAGACGAGGGGGAGATTATTTTCAATTCATTAAACATTTTCCACTCATGAACGTCAAAGCACAATTTCTTGAAGGTTTTCTGAGATTAAATATGTTAAGTTGTGACCTTCTGGGGGAGTCGTCTTTGGTAAATTCAAATCTCTCATCACCATTTCTCCCAGACTAGTGTTTATCTTATAGGGGAGAAGTAATCAGAGGACAGAACAGAAATTGCAACTTTGTCATTTCTTCGTTGGGGTTTGGCTGGGCAACACTTGAAATGCACAAGCCGGCTCTGAAGTTTAGCTTTTTAAAGCTCTGTTGAATTATCAGTGATTAAATAAAGTCATTGTAATTAAAATTCACCAGATAATAACAGACAGAACACTTTAGAGCTTATACTATGCTTTTTCATCTGCATATTCTCTCATTTGATATTTAAAGAACTGTGTTAAGTCAGATATTACCTCTATTTTTAAAATAAGAAAACAGGGAAATGACTTTACCAGGAGCAACAGATAGCTGGAGGCAGAACTGAGTCTAGTCTGAACCTTGTCTTCATAGACGTACATCTCTTTTGTCGGACTCTTTAAAAAAAAATTATGTTTTGAGTCTTAATACCTTTAAGCAAAGTGTCTCTGTTATTAGGGATAACCACAAACTATAACATCAAATACAGGGGCATTACAGAAACTTACCACTTTTCTTCACAGGAGCCAAAGGAGACAGGGGAGCACCAGGCTTGCCCGGCCTCCCTGGCAGGAAAGGGCCAGTGGGAGATGCTGGGCCTCCAGGGCCCATTGGCATGACAGGACCGCAAGGGGCACCAGGCTTTCCTGGTGTAACCATCCCTGGCCAGAAAGGAGATCGAGGTCCACCTGGCTCCAGAGGAAACCCAGGTAGAGAATCTACTTTTAAATATGGTAAAAGAATGAAAATGACATTGGACATCAGAAGCTTTCAACCCACTCATGTGACCATCTTGCTTCTTTTTCCTTCTGGTCTTCTCTGTTTTCCCATTCCCACCTGTCCTCACTTGGGCTGCATAAGGCTGTTGGTGTGAAAGCAGAGGGACCTGCTTGAAAAATTAGTAAATACTGGCACTTCCCTGGGGGTGTACTGGTTAAGACTTTGCCTTCCAATGCAGGGGGTGCAGGTTCGATCCCTGGTTGGGAAACTAAGAGCCCACATGCCTGTGGCCCCAAAAAACAAAACAAAAAACAGAAGCAGAATTGTAACAAATTCCATAAAGACTTAAAAAATGGTCAACATCAAAAAAAAATTCTTTTTTTAAAAAGAAAGAAAAATGAGTAAATATCAAGTTCATGAGCCTGGGAGAGAGAGAAGCGTCCATTCACCAGTACTGACTGAGCCCCTACTATGTGTAAGGTACTGGGTTAGGCACTGATTTTGCTCTAACAAACCGTCATCAAGGAGAAGCTGTCCCTGCCTCACACCTCATGGCAGGTAACGTTAAGGTGCAGGGTTTGCTCTTCACTCCAAAGGGCACTAACAGAACCTGCAAAGCTCCCCGAGCGGTAACACTGACAGGCTTTTTATGAATTCAGGCGTGCCTGGTCCTCCTGGGCCTCCAGGGAGTCCCGTAGAAGGCATGAAAGGAGACAAGGGGTTGATGGGAGAGCCTGGCCAAAGAGGTCCACCTGGAGCTGTAGGAGACATGGGGCCACCGGGTCCTCCGGTAAGTGGGAGATTATTTTGATGTCTGACCAAGCTAGACAGCATATTAAAAAGCAGAGATATTACTTTGCCAACAAAGGTCCATCTGTTCAAAGCTATGGTTTTTCCAGTAGTCATGTATGGATGTGAGAGCTGGACTAGACAAAAAGCTGAGTGCCGAAGAATTGATGCTTTTGAACTGCAATGCTGGAGAAAACTCTTGAGAATCCCTTAGACAGCAAGGTGATCCAATCAATCCATCCTGAAGGAAATCAGTCCTGAATATTCATTGGAAGGACTGATCTGAAGCTGAAACTCCAATATTTTGGCCACCTGATGTGAAGAGCTGACTCAGTTGAAAAGACCCTGATGCTGGGAAAGATTGAAGGTGGGAGGAGAAGGGGATGACAGAGGATAAGATGGTTGGATGGCATCACCAACTCAATGGACATGAGTTTGAGTAAACTCCGGGAGTTGGTGATGGACAGGGAGGCCTGGCGTGCTGCAGTCCATGGGGTCGCAAAGAGTCAGACACAACTGAGCAACGGAACTGAACTGAATGCTTCTAAGTTGACTGTCAGGATCAGATGTACCTGGAAGCATCACAAGTTTCCCACTTGTGATGCTTCTGTGTAGTGAACCCAAAAAAATGACAGTGTCTGGAAGGTTCAAAGAGTCAAAGGACCTTAAGAGTTGCCAGATTTGGCAACTCACAGGTCTCTAAGAGGCCTGTGAAAGTTCAGTCTATTTGGAACCCTTCTCTTTGTCATCCCTGACCTCATCTTGTTTCAACTCTGAACAATTTCATGTAGAAGCTTAGAATCACTCTAGATGACAACAAAATTTTTCTCTATTAATAGGATTTCAAAATCATCGTTGCCGTCCCTTAAATGTCTATTTTCCCCCACAACCTACTTTCCAGTATTTATGAATAGCTGCCATTTCCTTCTGGGTATTTTCTCTCCCAGTAAATATGTTTTCCCCTCAATTTCAGTTTAACTTTTCATCAATGTGCCTCTATTCTGAATACATCCTAGTGTGCCAATACCTTAAGAATGCAGCCCCTGAGATGAACACCTTCTAGGAATATGAATTCAGTACCCCCCACAGAGTAGCTAGAAGACAGATGAGTCTCACCATCCTGAACATTCTGTTTTATAATCCAGTCTACAAGTCCACATGGGGCTTCCTAGGTGGCTCAGTGGTAAAGAATCTGCCATCCGATTCAGGAGATGCAGGTTTGGTCCTGGGTCAGGAAGATCCCGTGGAGAAGGAAATGGCAACCCATTCCAGTATTCCTGCCTGGGAGGACTGCATGGGCAGAGGAGCCTGGCGGGCCACAGTTCATGGGGCTGCAAACAGTCAGACATGACTGAGCTCCTAAACAACAATAAAAACAGAATTCCACATGGATTGTCTGGCTGCCTAGTCACCACATTATCATCACACGTTGAGTTTACGGTCAACGAAAGCCCTTGTGCCTTTTCCGCCTGAGCTGCTACTAAGTTTCCTCCATTACTTTTTGTCTTGTCCATTTGTGTATTTGTGACTTTCACATTTATTTTTCTTAGATATCATCTTGTTCCTTTAGGCTCATGCTCCCAACCTATTAAGACCTCTCAATCATAACATCTCACTTAACACCATAGCCACCTTCCCTAGCTTTTTCTCAGCAGCATATTTGAAAAGATTTCTCCATTTACATCAAATTCCTGGAAACTAATGATGAAATCAGAGTTATGTCATAGTGGTTCTGTGTTATCTTGTGATGGATAATGAGGTTTTTTGACATGGTTTATTGCCAGGATACATGTTAAGCTCTCTTGGTATGTGGTTTCCAGAATCTACTTTTTAAAAACTTTTAAAAAAATGAGATACTCGCCTATCTCCAGCATTAGGTATTTCTCCTGTACTTCATGATTTTTTGAAAGTGGCAAACACTGATATTACAATCACATTGCAAGTTCTTCCAAGAACACTGGGATGTGGAAAGTCTAGTTTGGAAATGCAATCTCTCTTAAATCGTCTGTAGTGTAGGCTTCTGTATTTGTACCTGAAAGATAATTTTTGTTGTTCAGTCACTAAGTCATGTCCAACTCTTTGTGACCCCATGAACTGCAGCATGCCAGGCTTCCCTGTCCTTCTCTATCTCCCGGAGTTTGCTCAAACTCATGTCCATTGAGTCAGTTATGCCATCCAATCAATCATCACATCCTCTGTTGTCCCCTTCTCCTCCTGCCCTCAATCTTTCCCAGCATCAGGGTCTTTTTCAATGAAAACTGACTCCTTGCCCTTAACAACTCTCTCCTTGCAGGAAACAGCTTCCTCCCCACCCAAGAGAAGGGCCTGGCACCAGACCTTTCTCCCTGGTTACCTTTACCTCTGGACAACAGGCCAGACTTGAGAAGCCTGAGAATCCTTGATTACATGCTCCTGTTTATTCTCCTTCCTTTTTTAAACTCACACCATCTTATCTAAGAAATAGGACCGTTCCTTCTTTGGTCTTCAAGCTTCAAGACAGCTGGCTCAACGACCAGTTTTGTTACTGTTGGCATTTTCAGGACCTTCAATTCATTGTTTTCAAGTAATTGCATTCTGTCTCAATTCTTATGGATAGTATAAGACTAGAGGTGACATACATTCTGACAAACAGCACTTTTTGGAAGCCCTGTTCTCTCCCCTCTCCTCCTATGGCCTTGCTTGAGCATCTTGGCCACAAGGGTAATTAGTATGAGCCTCATAATATGGGAGCATCTCAGCCCGGTCAGATCATTGCATCCTTGCCAAGAGTGAGGTCAAAACTCCACTGACACACTCTTCCTACTCCCACCCCTGGAACCTGTACTTCTATCACTTTGACCAGAGTAAGTTACAACTCTGAGGGCTTAGTTAGAATGATGGTGGTTGTTACAGTTCAATAGCATCTCTGTTTTCTTTGCAAGAATTACAAACACAAATTATAACTTTCATTCTGGCAATCTGGTACCTGTTCTTCCGGAAAGATCTCCAAATGCCAGGAAGTTCACTTTGAAATACAGACTATCCAATTGTATCCAATACACTAACATATATTCACATCAAAAGTTATGTTCGCTCTTGTGTTCAAAGGTAGTTTTTACTTCTTTTTTATTGAAAAATCATAGACTTAAGGTGAGGTCTAGGTGACACAAAAGTTACAGGAGGTGATATAGTGGATTAGAAGGTAAAAATGATGTCTACCAATTTTAGATCATTCTGACCCAATATAATAAAATATCTTATGTGCTTAAAAAAACTATAATTAATATTGTGATTTTAAAAATTTGTCTTTTGTTTTGCTTCTTCTTATTTGAAATATAGGGAGCACCAGGTGTCCCTGGTCAGCCAGGGGCCAGAGGTGATCCTGGATTCTATGGATTTCCAGGCTTGAAAGGTACTGTTTTTGTTCCGTCCTCTATGGTACAAAGGCAATGACCACGAGTCACATTTTAGGGCACACAGATGTTTACTGATCCCAGAGTGTCAGAACAGGCTGGGTGCAAATAGGATGAATGAGAAGGAAGAATGAAGCAGGAAGACTACACCAGCACCCAACCCCAGAGGCCTTAAAAATTAAACCATATCTTAAGGATGGAAACTAGAAAAGCTAAAAACAGAAACAGTTTGAAGTGGTGACCTTTGAGTGTACTGATGTGTGTTGGGCTAGAGAATGGGGAACTACATCAATAGCAACAGTGTTGCTTTGAATGATTTATTTTACTTTGTGCCTGTGTGATAATTTTAAAAAGATGAAAATCTAAAAGAATATTCACAAACTGATCATGGGGGAGGGTAAGTAAATTTTTATATGCATATTTAAGTGTTTGGCATTTTATAGGGCACACGTATTATGTTTTTTAATCAGAGGAAACAGAATTTGGAGTTTTAAGTTTAAAACATTCAAACACATAAAATTTAACTTCAGGTTTTCAGAAAATCCCCCATAATGGTACTATGACCTCAAATGACATTTTGAATATTGGATGTGTTGTCTTAGCAGGTTGAATCCACTGGGATTGTTTTGTGTGTGCAGGGAATTGATGATCATAGTATAAATAGATGCTAAATTAGTAGTAACCAAAGTGAACAAAAGCACATCTCCATGAAAGATATTTTCCCAGTTCTGAGGGAGGACAAGGTGGAGGTCAAAGATAGCCTTTTCACTTTTTCAATCACTGGCTCTTCAAAGAGCAAAATAACTAAGGAGAAACCAAAGCGAGAGATTCTGACAAATCTCACTAGCCGCTGGGTGGGTGAACACTGGCAGGCAGCCTGGGGAGGATGTGGACCATTTGTCACTCTTTCAAGTCTCAGAACAGGAACAGCTAAGACTTGAAAAATTATAGAAATGCTATACCAAAGAAATAAATATTCTGGTAAAATATTTAGATGTACATCAAGGGCATGTGTGCATGCATGCTAGGTTGCTTCAGTCATGTCCGACTCTTTGCGACCCCATGGACTATAGCCTGCCAAGCTCTTCTGTCCATGGGATTCTCCAGGTAAGAATACTGGAGTGAGTTGCCATTTCCTCCTCCAGGGGATCTCCCCGACCCGGGGATCGAACCCATGTCTCTTATGTCTCCTGCATTTGCAGCTGGGTTCTTTACCAGTGGCGCAACCTGCGAAGCCAAGGAAGATTCATAAAATAAGAAGTATTAACCAGTTCTTTTGAAATATGTTCCATGAAACACATTCAGTTATTCTCTTAGATGTCAGAATAAGACTGTCCATCATCTGGCACCACTAATGAGTTTGAATTCTTTATTTGGAAATTTTTATTCCCCAAAAGATTAGGCATCTTCTGGTAGATATAAGCAAATATAAACATATCCTCAAGTTCTGATATCAAGTGGATAATTTATAGTGTGATTGCCAGTTAACTTTTGATAATATAATTATTTTATTATATTTCTGCTATGAATATCATATTTAGTATTAAGTTCTAAGTAATTAGATGTTATAGCAACCCACTCCAGTGTTCTTGCCTGGAAAATCTCATGGACAGAGGAACCTGATGGGCTACAGTCCCTGGGGTCACAAACAGTCAAACATAACTTAGAGACTAAACAGCAACAATGTAGATATGATATGTACATTGTGTCAAGATTTTTAAAAAGAGTGTTTCTCCAAACCAATGTTTCTTGGTAACTTTTTATTCATGTCAAAGACTGAGAGAGAAACCTTAGCACTTTGATAGTTTTAATTAAACAAGGTATTCCATATGAGCTCATGAGAGTTCCTAATATAACAAACTTTGGGCTACTAGTAAAGCTAGAGTAAGAAGCCGAGAAAGTAGACAACTATGACAACCAATATAACTCACTAGGAAGTGCTAAAGTAAGATTTAATGTCACTTCATATTTTACCTTAAATATTAAATTGGTTTCTGAACTTAAAAAGTAAGAACTCTTCCCCTTCAATGCTAAGATACTAGTACTTAATGCCTACTTCTAGAATACATTTTTAATAAACACTACGTATGACCAACTGGGTCCAAGTGAAATGCTACAACCCACATGAATATAACTAAGTCACAGTCCTTGTCATGCAGCTCACAACCTCCAGTCATCAACCCCAGAATCTCCCCTTAGAGGCAGTAATCAATCTGAAGAGCTAGGAAACCCATTGTTGTACGTGGAATGACATTGCCTTTTTTTGTTTAAGGGGAGAAGGGTAATTCAGGATTTCCAGGACCACCGGGGCCTCCAGGGCAAATTGGGCCAAAAGGACCACCTGGTAAATACATTATTTCCTTCATATTGCTCTCAGTGATGAACGAGTAGCTCATCAGGAAAGCCATCATCCTCTTCTGTTCATGCCGATAGGTGTACGTGGAGAGCCTGGCACAGTGAAAATCATCTCCCTTCCAGGAAGCCCAGGCCCACCTGGTTCAGCTGGAGAACCAGGGATGCAAGGAGAACCCGGGCCCCCAGGACCACCAGGAGATCCAGGTGTGGGATCACTAGGAAGTCATGGAACCAAACTTCTTGTAAAGAGATTTGGAAACAAACGATACAACTTCACAGAAAATGTTATACATTATAGTGTTTTTAATAATCAGCTTTCAGTCATTTCAGTTCAGTCACTCAGTCATGTCTGACTCTTTGCAATCCCATGGACTGCAGCATGCCAGGCCTCCCTGTCCATCACCAACTCCCAGAGTTTACTCAAACTCATGTCCAATGAGTCAGTGATGCCATTCAACCATCTTGTCCTCTGTCATCCCCTTCTTCTCCTGCCTTCAATCTTTCCCAGCATCAGGGTCTTTTCAAATGAGTCAACTCTTCGCATCAGGTGGCCAAAAGACTGAGCTTATTTTACTCTAGACCAGCAAATCAAAGACCTTTTGACCCTATTGACAACTGGTGTTTATAGTATAAAGTTGAGCAAATACACTATAGGGCACTCAGGATTGTTTTTTATTAAGGTAAAAGTATGAAGGCTATCTTCTCTGAAAACTGCCAGTCTTAGAGCTCTATTTCTAAATGATTGCCTGAATAAACCCGAGTTCTATGTAAAATATTTATACCTTTCCAACACTTTGCACAGCACTTGGAAAATCAGTAAATGCAAATGTACTTACTACTATGAAATCTTTTAAAATTATTGGTGCATGGAAATTGAACCAACCCCTTTCTATTGGCCTAGCATATTGTAATAGACCTCTGGATGGAACTGTGTTCTAGTTTCACCTGAATCACCTGAGAGATGAGAGATTTTATTACTTTGATCAATACAAGGGCATAGTGAATTCTGGAGTAGCATTAATCTAAATGGTAGCACAGTATTAAAATGCTGTATTTCATAAACCCCTAGTTCATTCTGTAGTCTTTTTTCTCTCCCTTGGGAAGTAGATTGTAGCATATTGGATAACCAGTTGTCCCAGTCTGCCCAGGGATGAGGGTCTCTTCTATTTGAAGGACTTCTATTATTGACACGGGGGAAGTCTTGGGTAAAATGGGATGGTTGGCCACCTTGCCTTTTATCCTATGTGAACCATTCAATACAATGTTGGTTTTTTGCTTTAGGACCCTGTGGGCCAAAAGGTAAACCCGGGGAGGATGGTCTACCAGGACCTCCAGGACCAACTGGAGAAAAAGGCAACAAAGGTTCTAAAGGAGAGCAAGGTAAAACAAAACAAAACAGCTGGCTGTTCTTCACTGAGGGAGAGCTATTCTCTGTATATAGAGAGGAAGGAGACTTGTTTGAACTTATGAGAACTCTAAATATTTCAGCGTGTGCTGTGCAGAGAAGACTAAGCCAGGGGCAAGACATTCTTTTTGAAATAGACAATCAAGAGTTATTGGAATATACCATTATTCCTATATCTTAACTGGGCAAATGTACTCCTGATTTTTAACCTGCAGGCTCACAGATTCATAGACGTAATGAAACACCAATTCTATTTTCAGAAAAGCTGATACTATGTACTTAGTTAATAACATCTACCTCTAAGCATGGCACCTAATTTTTGATACCTACTGTAGAAAGTGATGATCTACTTATTTAAGATTAAGGTTTATAGACTTCAATTAAGAATGGGTTTTACTTACTGGCATGTTGATACACATGCATCTTATGAGATAAGAGCATGACAGAGTTAATAAAGCACATAGATTGATATAGAATTTGCAAACTATCATACTTATATAAATTTTGCTATTGTAAAATAAGTTAAAATCACCTTATAAATTCTCTTCAGTTTAATTTTTAGTATTAATCTAATTTACAACAGAAATATATGAACTGCACATGTTTTTTCAAAGAAAAGAAAAAGAGTGGCACCTAAGGCATAGTTGGAAAAATATTACTTTGATATGAATAGAAGAGCAACTTAGTATCATTATTCAGGAAAGCCATCTTCTAACTATGCCGTCCTTGAATACAATTCAACAACTCATGTGTGTGTCCTGAAAAGGGGCCTCTTTTAAGTACATCAGGCTGAACATAAGCTTATATGTGTCAATTTGATATGCCTGAATCAAAGTCTACCTTCTGCAAAAGTTTCAAAAGCACCCTTCTAGAAAATATCTAAATGTCCAAATCTTATTTTTTAAGATTGAATCTTTGTTAAAGTAAGAAAAAATTCTAAATGTGATTTCCCAATTCATTGACATATGCCCAGATCTACTATGACACAACTGTATAAAGATTAGATATTTGTCTTTAAAAATGCAAACATAATGCTAGCTAATAATAATAATTACATAATTGCTCATGATTTAGTGCTGTCCTGACTGCACTTTAAGACACTATTAATCATTTGACTTTCATCAAAGTTTGTTTTCCAAAGTGGTAAAAACAAAACTCTTAATAATAATTATATGAATTTAAAAACTTTGCTGGCCACATTTGGCTTCAAAATGGGGCCATAGCAAGATTGAGGATACTACAACACAAACTGTGTTGAGAATTACTAGCAAGTAGACATAGATGGTCTTGATGCCGGGCACCAAAGGGCAACATAGAGATGAAGAACTGATCTCGAAAAACTCATCATCAGATATACACAAATATTTATAACAAGAGGCATCTGCAATAAAATAGTCAACATTTAAGAAAGGTCTTTGGTCATTTTATAAACCATACTTCTTTAGGACTACTTTCTGTAGTTGAGGCTGAATGCTGCTGCTGCTGCTGCCAAGTCGCTTCAGTCGTGTCCGGCTCTGTGTGACCCCATAGACGGCAGCGCACCAGGCTCCCCCGTGCCTGGGATTCTCCAGGCAAGAACACTGGAGTGGGTTGCCATTTCCTTCTCCAATGCATGAAAGTGCAACGTGAAAGTGAAGTCGCTTAGTCATGTCTGACTCTTAGCGACCCCATGGACCGCAGCCTACCAGGCTCCTCTGTCCATGGGAACTTCCAGGCAAGAGTACTGGAGTGGCTTGCCATTGCTTTCTCTGTGAGGCTTAATAAATATCTGTAAATATCTGAATTAGTATTTCGGATAAACAAGTTTGAGGTTTTGTGCTGCCACATGTATAGTGTGTTTTTTAAAGGACCACCTGGATCCGATGGCCTGCCAGGCTTGAAGGGGAGGTCTGGAGACACTGGACCACCCGCAGCAGGGACAGCGATGAGGGGCTTTGTCTTCACCCGGCACAGCCAGACCACAGCGGTCCCCTCCTGTCCAGAAGGGACAGAGCCACTCTACAGTGGGTTTTCTCTTCTCTTTGTACAAGGAAATGAACAATCCCATGGACAAGACCTGGGTAATGCCCCCTGGTTAATTTCTATCCACTTCGTTCCATATGCAGACAATACATTTTTATGGCATGGGGTACTTCCCTCTGAAGTTAAGTGTAAACAACCTAAATGTCTTTAGCACTTTTATTTTTTAATTTTTACAATGTCGTGTTGGTTTCTGCCATGCAACAGTGCGAAGCAGCCATAATTATTCGTCCATCTCCTCCCTCCTTCCCCCACCCCATCCCATCTTTACAGGTCATCACAGAGCGCTGCCCCACAGCGATTCCTCACCAGCTATCCATCTTACACCTGATAGTACACATCTGTATTCATGCTACTTTCTCCATCCATCCCACTCTCTCCCTCCCCTACTGTATCCACAAGTCTCTACATCTGTGTCTCCATTCCTTCCCTGCAAATAAGTTCATCAATACTTTTTAAAGAGAGTAAATAAGACATTGGCCTCATGTCTAATATTCATTCTGGATTGTAAGCTCTAGAAGGAGCCAATCTAGTTGGTCTTATTTTAAAAAAATTTTTTTTTTCACTTAAATAACCTGTTTGCTATTCAGGCTTAAAAGTAAAATCTGTTCCAAAGCTTGGCCTGGTTATTGGCCATCGTATACATATGAAGAACTGGGGATACTTTGAAGCAAAGACATTTTCTCAACGACCTCTGCTAGTCCTCAAGTTCTAGATAATTAGAAAGGGCCCCAGAAAGTGTTAAAGGTGGAAGAAGGAAGAAAGATTTATGTCCCTATTGGATCTTTAATTCCTATCAGTATTAAAACTTTTCAATCACACATTTTGCAAATAGCGTTTTTGTGTCATGTTTCTCCAGTTTTTGCCACACATTATGTTTTAATTAGCTTCTATCTAGTAATGATAATCAAAATAATTGGAATTCACTGAAAGTGATACCCAGTCTGATGTTTTATTAGGAACACTTGGCAGCTGCCTGCAGCGATTTACCACAATGCCATTCTTATTCTGCAATATCAACGATGTATGTAATTTCGCATCTCGAAATGATTATTCATACTGGCTGTCAACACCAGCTATGATACCAATGGACATGGCTCCAATTACTGGCAGGGCCCTGGAGCCTTATATTAGCAGGTAAAATCCCAGTCCCTTAGTTTCATGATGGCAACAGGTGAACCACTTCCTTTGCCACAGAATGTAAGGCAGCACACCGTGGCGCAGAAAGTGGTGATGCACCCATATTTTTTGTTTCATGTTACAGATGCACGGTCTGTGAAGGTCCTGCAATTGCCATAGCTGTTCACAGCCAAACCACTGATATCCCCCCCTGTCCTGCTGGCTGGATTTCTCTCTGGAAAGGCTTTTCTTTCATCATGGTAAGGAGAAAAGGAACAGTACATTCATAGTAAACATTATCCATGGAATCTTACATTGGGCTGGATGAGATGTGGTCTCCAGGAATGATATTGTTGGACATCAGTATGCACAATCTGCTGTGAATATTTGCTTGAAAATCTGCAAATATGCTTTAAGTTTGTTTGTGTTTGTAAATAATGGAGCATTTTAAAAAATGGACTTCTCAGAAAGAGCTAATCCACATATTCTAAGTAAGGCCCTTTAAAGTTCCTTATGAAGATGGGAACTAAAAGAGAAATAGCCTTTTAAAGAAAAATTCTCCAGATGCAAGTACTAAATGAAGAAATCTATGGATTGACATTTGTGATTTTGATACCTGCACAGATGTGGTTGGTGATTACTCATATTTTGTGTAACATCATTCATGATACTTTATTCTCTCTTCTCTACACAATCACTAATTCAACAAATATTTATTGAATGCCTACTCTGTGCTATGACCATTCTAGGCACTAGGATACCAGCAGTGAACCAAAGTTCCTGCTCTCATGGAGCTTCTTTCATAGTGGTAGAGATATAAATGAGAAGACAACATAACAATAGTAGTACGTAATGAGTTCAGATGGTGAGCAGTCCTATAGAGAAAATAAAGCAAGATAAGAGGAGAGACTGATACGGATGAGGTCAAGGAAAGCTTTGTGGAGCAGGCCCCTGAATAGCAAAACAAGAACAAGTCAGACCTGGGGGGGTGGAAAGCATTCTAGGCGAAATAAACAGCTTTTAGATTATTTTCGATGACTATCCTTCATCTTGGAAGGTACCTGGAGTGTTATAGTAAATTTGGGTAAATAAGCACAAGAAGTTCAATTCATGCTTTCTTTTTTTTTTTGTCTTCTATTAAGAAAAAAAAAATTAGAGCATTGAAAGTGTGAGCACTATGCACAGAATTCTTATTTGGATCCTTTTCTTGTGACAGTTCACAAGTGCTGGTTCGGAGGGTGCTGGGCAAGCCCTCGCATCCCCCGGCTCCTGCCTGGAAGAATTCCGAGCCAGTCCATTTATAGAATGTCATGGAAGAGGAACATGCAACTACTATTCAAATTCCTACAGTTTCTGGTTGGCTTCATTAGACCCCAAAAGAATGTTCAGGTAACTATTCAAAGTTAATCAAAGTTAAGTTTAATCTGATGACTCAACTGCGTAACTATTCAAAGGTTGCCTGTGTTAGATTTTCATTCCCTGTGTGCTGATGTGCTCACATTAAAAAAAAATCTCCCTGTGCCAATAAAATCCTGTTTAGTTTGGCACTCCCAGTGTACAAGTGGTCTAGAGTTGACAAGTAGCCCTGGTTTGTGCTACTTTACCAATAAAGACCAAAAAATATTATTTTTGTCATTGTTAAAAATATTGATATATGAATTTATAGACTACTGAATAAACTACTAAAGCGAAAGTGTTAGTTGATCAGTCATGACTGACTCATTGCGACTCCATGGACTGTAGCCCATGGACTGTGGCTCCTCTGTCTGTGGAATTTTCCAGGCAAGAATACAGGAGTGGGTTGCCATTTCCTCCTCCAGTGGATCTTCCCAACTCAGGGATTGAACCTGGGTCTCTTGCATTGCAGGCAGATTCTTTACTGTCTGAGCCACCAGTGGGCTCAAAAAAAAAAAAAAAAAACACTATTAAATGATCTACTGATTTTAATTTATCATGTTGGAAGACTTCTAAGTATTACAGAGAATTAAAAGGGTAGGAGTATTTTTTCAGAAAAAAAATCTGTAAGTTTGCATTTATAAGTTACTGCTAGATACAACTAAAATGATAAAGTGTTGACATATGTATCTTTTCAGAAACATACCTCCCTGAAATAAAGTTTAAGTGAGCTACCACATTTATTAACAAAACTCAGACCCAGGAAGTATTTCCCTTTTATCTATAAATTGATGAGATTTTTGGTGTTCTTTTTGCTTTTGCTTTTTATTTCAGAAAACCCATTCCATCAACTGTGAAAGCTGGGGAGTTAGAAAACATAATAAGTCGCTGTCAAGTGTGCATGAAGAGGAGACCATGAAGAAATAAAGAAAAAATAAAACTGTTACTTTTCATCCTAAATAACCAAGTAATATTGCAGAACATGCACTTATTTAAGTATCTTTCTCTCTTGGAACACCAGTACAAAGTTTCTATTTGTTTCCCCACATAACAAAGCCTTAAGTTAGTTCTGTGATACTGGTCTCTAAATCTGTACTGTGTCAAAGTTCCCTAATGCAAAGCACTAAGCTTTTCACAAAGTATCACCAAAATCTTGTATTTCACTTTTATCCCATGCACTAAGTAAATGGTGATTGTATAAAGTTTGATACTACAAGTGAAGAGCTATTTGGTCCACTGGATTCCCAGGATTCACCCCCCTTTCTATTCCAATCTTGGAGACTCAGGGAGGCTAATTCTGTTTTAGATTGCCTGATCACCCTATTCCCAAAGCTTTAGACCCTGGGTAGGGAAGGGGATGAAATGGGATATTAGAGCATCATGAATAAACTGGACTTTCAAACCTGGTGAGTAATCTAAGACCTAAGGGAACCAGAATTGAATTGAGGTTCATGGATTGTCTAGTGCTTTTTCAAACACACCCAAGACTAAGGCCAGAAGGGGGCTGCCCTGAACGGAATAATAATAGCCTTAGAAATACTGTATGGTTTTGGTTTACATTTTTTAAAAGACATTTTTGTTTGTCCATTGAATTCATTTTACTACAGCAATATAGCTTGCTTATATTCAAACAGATATAATTTTTACCCTTAGTAAATTAACTACACCCACACAAATAACAGATTCCTTGATGTGCACTTTATCCCCATCCCTATAAATGCTGGTGCATACCTTATAAACTAGCAGGTCAGCAACCCATGGAATAACTGAAGGCATTTGTTGGCTAATCAGGATCAAAATATTTTTCATTTTCTCTAAATATTCCATTTAACCTGGGTGTTCAGAGATGTATTCCCTTGTTAACTACATAATTCTTCCTTTGTTAAAGACATGTTTTTGATATTACATATTCTTATAAACCATTGGAAGAGTCCATTGTGTAAAAATTTTGATGTACAAATTGTATAGTTTGGTGGTTTTATGTCTTAAAACTTGCTTTTCAGTGTGTTGATAACATTCCCAAGTTTACCTAATTCAACTTAAGATTTTATTCAAAACCAAGTCATATCCCAGGTGCTGCACTAAATTATAGACACTAAAAGGATGAAAACAGATTTGTTTCTGATCCACTATCTCAGAGAAGGTAACTTACTGTTTCTGTTAAGAATTCTACTTGTCTAAGTTGTTTTTCCTCCTTTTTTCTCTTTGTTCTTATATTTCATCAGAATAATTCAGCAGGCCTCAATATAGGTTCAAAAATAATATTTACGCCCAGGGAAAGCCCAGGACATCTAGCTTCTCCTAGGCATTACAGAAGCCAAGGTCTGAAAATGTTAACAAAATGAAAATCTAAAAAACCTTAAAGACCATTTATACTTGATAGTAGCACTATTTGATGAATCTCAGAGGCCAGATGTCCAGAGATAAAGCTCTGCAGATGCTTCTTAATCCACCGAGGTGGAGTTGGTGGTGCTGATATTTAAATTCAGGTTATTGCTTCAACCTCAGTTGCTTTGTAAATGAAGGTGTGACCCCAGAGGAAAGCACAGACTGTGACCTTAGTTGGCATCCTTCACTGCTCATGTGACTTTCAAGCGATTTTTACATTTAAGCTGAGAAATGCATTTTACTTAGATTATTTGCTTAGACTCACCTTATACTAAGGCTTTTTTTTTTTTGCTTTAAATATATCCAACTTTTTTAATTGTACCATAATGGCATAAGGCTAGCTGATCTACACAAACCCTCTGTAGGTCAGCAGTTCTCAAAATGTGGTCCCTGGACCAGCAGCATCAGCAGCATCTGGGTACTTGCCATCAATGCAAATGCTTAGCCTAGACATTTAGAATCAGAAACTCTGGGGGAAAGACCCAGAAATGCATATTTTAACAAGCTTCTCCAGGTGATTTCTGATTGAGAACTGTTCTAGGCAAACATCCAAGAAACTATTCTACAGACAGTTACCACTGTCTGTATAAATAAGGCCAACCAATATTGCTCCATCCATACCTCTCTTTAAAGTCCAAAATCAAAAGTGACCTCAAGGTCATCTAATTTTACTAATGAGTTAAAGCCCTATATTGGTGCTAATGGCAAATGACTGGCCTCTGCTTGTCCCCAGGCTCCCTCCTTTCTTGTCCCATTATCAGTGTTTAACTTCTGAGGAAGACAAGTGATGCTAAAACATTAGATCCCAATGAAGCCATATTGAAAGTGGCTCAGTTCCCCTTCTAAGACTGAGCATTGAAACACAGCTCAGGAGCATTACTTTCCAGATACCCATCAGTAGTTTATAAAGTTATGAAGATTTAACTTTGTAGATAAAATGTAAATAACTTGTTTCTTTTAAATCTGGGGTTTCAACTTTGGAATTTCACAGTGTGCTGAAATAATGGGTTTCTCAGAGGTGTTTTTGCAAGATAAACATTATTAAATAACTTATTTATAAAAGTATTACAATAATTCTAAATTTGAATTTTATTGCTAATTTAACTTACAAAGTTTTTTCTATGCATCCAGTGCAACTTACTGCTACTAAACTTAATTTAATATTTACTCTATAACCAAATGAAATATATTTAAAATATATTGAATATTTTATATTATTATATCTTGACAATTACAATGTTGTACTAATATTTCTGTAATTACACCTTAAATATTATGTTGTTGTATTGTCTAAGAATAAAATTGAAAAATTTATATCTGGTCTTATTTTTTTCAAAATATAAACAAATTAATTTTTTTTGGATTGTAAAAATAGTATATGTTCACTGTAAAAAATAACAGTAATTATGAAGACTATATAAAAATTGCCATGATCTAACCCCTCACCCCCCTCCAAGAAAATTAAGGTATTATCATCTCAGACTTTTTTCTTGTGGACATATTTTTCAAATCAATAGGTAAGAACTAATCAGTATTTATATGAATTTCTCTACATAAATCAATGAATTGGCTGATATTTAGTTTTATTATGGATGTATTATGAACAGTTTATTTCATATTTGTCCAATTATTTCCTCAGGATAAATCTCTAGGAGGAAAACTGCAAAAATCAAAGGAATTGCAGTCTTAGGTCTTTGAAATATATATAATTTTTATACATATACATACATGTTCTCCAGAAACATTGCTAGAATTTCTAGTTGCATCAATACAATGTTATGAAAACATTCATCTCCTTATGCTTTTACCAATATTGGACATTGCTGTTCTTTCACAGTTTTGCCAGTCTCAATTTACATTTTGTTCATTATCAGCAAGGCTGAACATTTAGCACTTTAAATTAGTATTGGGGTTTTTATTTATGTTAATTAATACTTGAGTTTTTTTTTCCTGTGAAAGGCCTAATCATATCTTTATGCATTTCCTATTGAGGTATTTAAGGAGTTTTCATAAATCAAGAGGAAAAGGTATAAATTACAGAAGTTATGGATCTTAGATTTTGATGTTTCCCATTTATAATGCACCCTATTCAAGGAAAAATATTCATAAAATTTCTAAGGTAGAGAACTGGTAAAGATGAATGCCTTTAATATACAAAAATCTGAACTCTCTTAAGTAAGGTACTTTTGGGGTGTGTCAAATGACGATAAAGATATCATCATACGAAAACACAGAATGAATGGTGATGCTGGGTAATAATTCTAAGAAAACCAAGAAAACTGTTACCCAAATATTTAGAAACAGTTTCATAATTGGACCAAAAAATCCAATTAGAGAACATTTTGATCAAAAAGTATACTAATCCATTTAAATGAACTTATTTTTACAAGCAGAAGAATGAATGCTGTGTTGAGTCCATTCTCTCTACTTATAAGCCTGTTTAGAAAGAAAAGTCTTCTTCAGTCTCCAAGGGATTCCTTGTAACTCACTGAGAGGGCACTTGTGGAGCACTTAGTGTGCCTCCTTCACCTCGGTCTTATCCCAGCTCTGCTTACCGGAAACTAAAAGACAACCAAACACAGAAGGAAAAACAACTGATTTTGAATCTTCATCAACATCGTTCAGTCAGTCGTGTCTGACTCTTTGTGACCCCAAAGACTGCAGCATGCCAGCCTTCCCTGTACTTCACCATCTCCTGGAGTTTGCTCAAACTCATGTCCACTGAGTCAGTGATGCCATCCAACCACCTCATCTGTTGTCCCCTTCTCCTCCCACCTTCAATCTTTCCCAGCATCAGGATCTTTTCCAATGAGCCGTTTCTTCGCATTAGGTGGCCAAAGTACTGGAGCTTCGGCTTCAGCATCAGTTCTTCCAATGAATAGTCAGGGTTGATTTTTTTTAGAATTGATTGGTTTGATCTCCTTGCTGTCCAAGGGACTCTCAATCAAGAGTCTTCTCCAGCACCACAGTTCAAAAGCATCAATTCTTTAGCACTCAGCTTTCTTTATAGTCCAGGTCTCACATCTATACATGACTACTGGAAAAACCATAACTTTGACTACACGGACCTTTGTTGGCCAACTGATGTCTCTGCTTTTTAATATGCTGTCTAGGTTTGTCACAGCTTTTCTTCCAAGGAGCAAGCATTTTTTAACTTCATGACTGCAGCCACCATCTGCAGTGAGTTTGGAGCCCAAGAAAAAAAAGTCTCGCCCTGTTTGCACTGCTTCCACTGTTTCCACTTCTGCCATGAAGTGATGGAACCTGATACCATCATCTTCATTTTTAAATGTTGAGTTTGAAGCCAGCTTTTTTCACTCTCATCTTTCATTCATCAAGAGGCTCTTTAGTTCCTCTTCACTTTCTGCCATTAAGGGTGGTGTCATCTGCATATCTGAAGTTATTGGTATTTCTCCCAGCAATCTTGATTCCAGCTTGTGCTTCAGCCAGCCTGCTATTTCACATGATGTACTCTGCATGTAAGTTTAAAAAGCAGGGTGAAAATATATAGCCTTGATGTACACCTTTCCCAATTTGGAACCAGTCTGTTATTCCATGTCCAGTTCTAACAGTTGCTTCTTGACCAGCATACAGATTTCTCAGGAGGCCGGTAAGGTAGTCTAGTATTCCCATCTCTTAAAGAACTTTCCACTTTGTTGTGATCCACACAAAGGCTTTAGTGTAGTCAATGAGGCAGAAGTAGATGTTCTTCCAGAATTCCCTTGCTTTTTCTATGTTCCACCAGATGTAGGCAATTTGATCTCTGACTCCTGCCTTTTCTAAATCCAGTGTGTACACCTGGAAGTTCTCGGTTCACATACTATTGAAGTCTAGCTTGAAGGATTTTGAGCATTACCTTGCTAGCATGTGAAATGAGTACAACTGTGTGGTAGTTTGAACACTCTTTGGCATTACCATTCTTTGGGACTGGAATGAAAACTGACCTTCTCCAGTCCTGTGGCCACTGCTGAATTTTCCAAATTTGCTGGCATATTAAGTGCAGCACTTTCACAGCATCATCTTTTAGGATATGAAATAGTTCAGCTGGAATTCCATCACCTCCACTAGCTTTGTTCATAATTGTGCTTCCTAAGGCCCACTTGACTTTGCACTCCAGGATGTCTGACTCTAGGTGACTGATCACACCATTGTGGTTATTTGGGTCATTAAGATCTTTTTGTATAGTTCTTCTGTGTATTCTTGCCACCTCTTCTTAATCTCTTCTGCTTCTGTTAGGTCCATACTGTTTCTGTCCTTCATTATGCCCATCTTTGCATGAAATGTTCCCTTGATATCTCTAATTTTCTTGACAAGATCTCTAGTCTTTCCCATTCTATTGTTTTCCCCTATTTTTTGCATGTTCACTTAGGAAGGCTTTCTTATCTCTCCTTGCTATTCTCTGGAACTCCGTGTTCAGATGGGCATATCTTTCCCTTTTTCTTTTGCTTTTTGCTTCTCTTATTTTCTCAGCTATTTGCAAGGCCTCCTCAGACCAGGCTCAATTTAATCATTCAGATAAATACTACCCTCTTTAGGTTTTTGGAGAAAATCCCATGGACAGAGGAGCCTGGTAGGCTGCAGTCCATGGGGTCGCAAAGAGTCGGACACGACTGAGCGACTTCACTTTCATTTTTCACTTTCATGCATTGGAGAAGGAAATGGCAACCCACTCCAGTGTTCTTGCCTGGAGAATCCCAGGGATGGGGGAGCCTGGTGGGTTGCTGTCTATGGGGTCGCACAGAGTCAGACACAATTGAAGCAACTTAGCAGCAGCAGCAAGGTGTTTCTAAAAATAACACTGCTCAAAACCTTTTCAGAACTATTGCTTTGGAATTACCCTTAACTGCAATTTATCAGTCAAGTAAGGAAATAGATCTCATTACTTTATACCCAAGGCCTACAATATGCTCAACATGATTGCTCCATGAAAATAGTGAGATGAGTAAGATATAGACCTTGGTCTCAAACATGGAACTTATCATGTGGTAGGCGAAAATAAAGCAAATACATAGATAATTATAATATGCAACAGAATGTGACAAGCACTGTAAGAGTCAAAAAACAATGGTTCATAAGTTGGAGGCCTCAGAAAATCACAAAAGTGGATATTTTAGGTGGTCTTTCAAGGTTAGTTAGAATTTTAAGAAACAGAAGTTGATCAGAGGCAGGATGGCATTATAGGTGGCAGAAATAGATAAAGGTAAGTATCAACAGTTTGAAAAGCATGAAATAATCTCAGAGAACAATCAATGATCAAGAATATATACATGTATATCATTTACACACATAGTAAATTAAGTGGCATGGCAGGAGGTGAGGGCCATATTAGAGTTTAGAACACCACGGTGAACTTGTACATCATTGGTTGGTATTAGAGACCCATTGAAGACTTTGAGCCAAAGAGTAGAATGATCATATAGATGGTAACATGGAAGATTCAATATTTCAGGATCACAATCTTCATTTGAAACTTATTTCAGTTTCCCTGGTGGGGAATGGACAGGAGTAAGAACCAAATTGTAAGTACTGAGAAGTAGAAAGATACTAGTGGAGCAGCAAGACCCTCATTTCTAAAGGTTTTGGTCATAGCTTATTTAGCGTGGTCTCTAAATTCCCGCAAAAGGTTGGCTTGGAATAGCTGATCATTACTAAGATCATCTGCACTTAAAGGATGATTTGTCAGTATTAAAAAGGGGCCCAAGAAGGAAATTCTCAGATGACATCCTAAATTGTTTTAAAGAATGGGAACATCTCTAGATGTTACCAACATTCAACATTCAGAAAACTAAGATCATGGCATCCCGTGCCATCACTTCATGACAAATAGATGGGGAAACAATAGAAACAGTGACAGACTTTATTTTGGGGGGCTCCAAAATCACTGCAGATGGTGACTGTAGTCATGAAATTAAAAGACGCTTACTTCTTGAAAGAAAAGCTATGGACAACCTGGACAGCATATTAAAAAGCAGAGACATTACTTTGCCAACAAAGGTCTGTCTAGTCAAAGCTATGGTTTTTCCAGTAGTCATGTATGGATGTTAGAGTTGGACTATAAAGAAAGCTGAGCTCTGAAGAATTGATGCTTTTGAACTGTGATGTTGGAGAAGACTCTTGCGAGTCCCTTGGATTGCAAGGAGAGCCAACCAGTACATCCTAAAGAAAATCAGTCCTGAATATTCATTGGAAGGACTGATGCTGAAGCTGGAACTCCAATACTCGGCCACTTGATGCTAAGAACTGACTCACTGGAAAAGACCCTGATGCTGAAAAAGATTGAAGGCAGGAAGACAAGGGAACGACAGAGCATGAGATGGTTGGATGGCATTACTGACTTGATGGACATGAGTTTGAGCAAACTCCGAGAGTTGGTGACAGACTGGGAAGCCTGGTATGCTGCAGTCCATAGGGTCAAAAAGAGTAGGACACGACTGAGCGACTGAACTGAACTGAACATATCTAGAGTATCTTTAGACTCTAGAGAAGTACATACTCATGCGTATGTCTTTGGCTGTTTGTTAACATCGAAGAATACATATGTATTCGCCCCAGTGTTGACGAACAAAGTACTGACTTTCTCCTAGAAAGTTAATGGTTATGTGGTTGTCTGCCTGCAGTGCAGGAGACCCCGGTTGGATCCCTGGGTTGGGAAGATCCCCTGGAGGAGGAAATGGCAACCCACTCCAGTATTCTTGCCTGAAAAATCCCATGGATGCAGGAGCCTGACGGGCTACAGTCCATGGGGTCGCAAGGAGTCGAACACGACTGAGCGACTTCACTTTCACTTTAAATGGTTAGACAGCAAACATTTCTTGAAAACGAAACAGGGAACTACTGTGAAACCGGGTTAATAAAGTAGGTCAAGGCTAAGGACGACACAGAGGGCTTGAAAAATCGTGAAAATTGGAGTATAGTGTTTAAGAATCATGTGCAGAGATGGCGAAATATGCAGACTATTAGGCCTCACACCAGTCCTGATTTTGATGCGGACAGTCCTGAAACCTAATTATTTAACTAGCTACCGAAGGTTTACCTTTTAAACACGAGATGCGGTGGGCGTATTTTGCCCACAACAAAGATGTCGCGAAATCGCCGTCGCACAGCCCAGCTCCTCTGCGTGGGTCTTACGTCCGCCCTTCCTCGCGTCACATGACCACGAACCTGTCTCAACTACAGTTCCCGGAAGGGACCAGTCCCGGGCGTTCTCGCGTCTCTCTTTCGCTCCCCGCCCGCTGCGGGCGTCTCCGGCCGGTGATTTGCCCGGGCGCCTCCGTGCGCTCGGCCAACGGCCTCTGAGACTGCCCACCCAAGCACCCGGGAGCCGGCGGGCGGCGGCCCTCGCCGGGGACCCTCCAGCGGGCCCAGGGGTGAGTGCTGACGTCTTCCCGACCCGGGACCCGGGGCCCGAGCCGGATGCGGGGCCTAGCGCCGCGGCCGGGATCCTCCGGCGATGGAGGGACCGCCTGGGGCGCCAGCCGGTCCGTGGTGCGGTCTTGGCCTTCCCCAGGGGCCTCCCCGCTTCAAGCCTGACTTTTCCTCCTCCTCGGGGCGTTGCTCCCCCCTTTAGTGTCTGAGGAAAGCACGGGAGAGCCGCGCACCCTGCTGCAGTCATCCTGGGGCTAACCTTTTCCGCTTTAGTTCTGTGCCTTCGTTTGGTCGAAAAATTGAGTTTTCCACGTAGAAAATAGTTTCTGGCGTGGGAAACCCTAAGGGCGTCCTGAGAGCTTCAAGCGAGGTTTGAGTGGTAGTCTCCTCTCATGCTTCCCAGCCAAGGTCCTGGTACCTTCCAGTATGACCTTGAACCCGACGCCTGTCTCTTTGAAAGTAGTTTTTGCTTTGTTTTTGCTTTTACTTTGTGTGTGGGGAGGCGGGACGTGTTGGAAAAGAAAGGCCTTGTTGGAAGCCCAGGCGCCCCGGGGAGGCCCCTGGTCGCGCTGATTAGGAAGCATCCTTGCTGCAGGTGTGGATGTCGGGAGATGGTCCAGCGTTTCCTTCCAGGAGCTGGAAACTGGAGAAAGCTCGGATTCACCTTCCGTCAGCGTGTGACCTTCTTCGCCTGCAGGACGAGTTCCCCTTCTGTAGTAGAAGAAAACCCCTGGCTGCCTCCTACGAGAGGCATTCTCGAGGGAGGAGAACCCTTTCAAAAGTGGTGGCGTCTTTTAGTTGCAGAAGATAGAAAGCCTTAGCGCCTTTGTTTCAAATATAGAACCAGTTGTATACAGGCCTCACACCCCACAGAGAGACTTTAACTGAAGGATCTTAAATATTTTCTCTCCCTAGATGGAAAAAACGTTCCTTTCGGTGTTGATTGCATCACCTAATGAGATCCCAAAGGAAAAACCCTTAGGAAAATAGATTCGGAGAGAATTAGAACGATTTAGTTGTACCTCGGAGTCTCTGCCCGTGTAATTAAATTGTGTGTGGGACCTGCTATCTTTTTGGTTGCAAGCACTTGTGAGTTGGTTTTGCTCTTTTGTTGTTTTTTTCCCCAAAGGAAATTGTGTTTTCTATCCCTTCCTGTCTGATAGGGATACCGCATTTTCTGATTACGAAGTTTAGCGGTTACTGTCTTCCCTTGTGGTGTTGAAACTTGTTTTCTGTGGATTGATAGCCTTATTTTAAAATTCGTTAACTAGTATTTTCCCAACTTTTCCGTGACTTTAAAAATAAAAATGAATTTGGGGTTACTTCGCTGTGATTTTCTTATACACCCATTATTTAAATATGAAAGTGAAAGTCAATCAGTCATGTCCAACTCTTTGCGACCCCATGGACTAGTCCATGGAATTCACCAGGTCAGAATACTGGAGTGAGTAACTCGTTCCTTTCTCCAGGGGATCTTCCCAACCCAGGAATCGAACCCAGGGCTCCCAGATTGCAGACGGATTCTTTAGTATAGATGCTTGAAAAGAGAACTGAAATAGGGTGACCGGTATAAAAGCCTTGAACTAGGTCCACACAATAAGTGACAGATAACCTGACATTATTTTATTATTTGGGGAATTATAGAAATCTTTGTTAACCACAATCAGTTTGACCCAAGTTCTTTCTGTGGCTTACTGGGCTGTGTCTTTTGATTCCAGCATTCTAATATAGAAAATGGGAAGGTAAGACCCACTGCGGTATTGTAAAGTGATTAGCCTCCAACTAATAAAAATAAATGAAAAAAAAAGAAAAGAGAATGAGAAGGTAAAGCTTGATTCATTCCCCAAATTGGGGACACTTTCCGTCATGGGAAAGTGGATGTGACTTGACTAGGTGGTTTGCAGGTGAGGGGTTTTTTAAGAGTTATGTTTTTGTTACCTGTTTTTGTATGTGTACATTAAAGGATTTTGTCTCTTTCGTTATATCACAGAGACTCAGGTGCCTAGTAGATTGTAAGTGACAAAACTGAAGTTAATGTCTTAACTCCAGATGAGAAATTTATTTTCTTTTTTGCTGAAAGATACTACCAAAAATAATGATAGAGAGAAAAAAAAATGAGATTTTGATCTAATTTACTTAAGCAGAAAAGCCAGTAATTGGAATAGTACAATGTTAAATCTTAGTAGAAAAGTTTAATCTACCTTGTAAGTAGTTCAGATTGGCTACAGGAGAATTTGGCTTTTTCTAGAAGTTGTCTTTTCAGTGTCCATCTTTGGTGATTTAAATCCATGATACTTGACAAACTCAGAAAGTCTTGTAAGCAAAGATGTTGCTGTATAATGAAATGTTGAGACCCCTGGTATGTAGTAGTGGAAAGTTAATACGAAGGTTGAAATGTAGTAAATGGAGTGAGGAGAATAGCACATTTGGGGGAGATACTATTCTAGCAATTTGCATCCCTTGTTTATTATTATAAAATTTCAGTTTATAATGTCCTAAGGCTGTACTCCTTTTGAAGTGTCTCTTTCAGTGTTATTTCCAAATACAAGCTTTTACTGTGCTTCAGGTACATGTATATGTAAGTATAAGAAGGATATCTCATTTCTTATTTGGAATGATGCACAGAAATTGATGAGAGGCTACCTCTGGGGACCTGAGTTGTTACATAATATAGGATCAGTGGGACACTTCATTGTTCTGTATCGTCTTGTGTACTTTGTACCATATGCATGTGTTAACTAGTTCAAATTAAATACTGAATGAAAGTAGCTGGATGAAAATTTCACCAGTGCATGTTTCTTCTTAATTTGTGTATGTATATATACACACATACATGCCTAAGTATTAAATTCTGTTAAACATATATATATATATATATATATATTCCATCAGCTATATTTTTCTAAATTCAAATCAGAAACAATAATCTTTTATCTTGCATTAACTAGTGAATGGTTGTAGGGCTCTGTCTCCAGGCCTAAAATTGGTGGTAAGTTTGTTCATTTTTTTTTTTATTTATTTTAGCGGGTTTTTTTAATGTAAGGCTATGCATCTTTAGTTGCTTTCATCATTCAGAGGATTTCCAGCAATGAATCTCTGATATCAGTATCATGTAGTTTTTCAGTTAGCTCTGTTTTTTTTCTCCCCCAGGGACAAAAGTGGCTCTAAATCCAGCACGTGTGTACTGAGGCAAGTTAATGGATTTAATATGAAGCACAGAAGCAGATAATGCCAAAGAGCAAGCAGTAATTGGTACACATTTGTGAGTAAAAATTTTCTCTTTTGGGTCTGTTGTGTTAGTCTTTAAACCGTTTGCATGCCAGATCCTTAAAATTCACACATTTTGGTAAAGAATAAAAGGGGCAAGTTAGAAGTCATAATTACCAATTGTCAGGGTTTAGCCCCTTAACCAACCTCTAAGAACTCTCCAAAGCATGTCAGTGACGTGGAGTTTGAGATGTGTGATGTGTCTCTGACATGGAGTTTAAGAAATGTCCCCACTGTGACTTAAATTTATACTCCTTAATTTTTTTATTGTCTTTAATTTTTATTGACCTTGACTTAAATATCTTTCACTGGAAACTTAGTGTAATTTAGCTTTCAAAGTTATTTGCTTTTAAAGAAATCATTACTTATACATCAAATATTAAGTTACCACAAATACATCTTTCTGCCCTTTACATTATCTTTGTGATTTCTTCATTTTTACTTAGTCTAAAAAAGAAAAGGACTTACCCCCCCTTCAGAATATAATACTTAGAGGAATTTTGTGACAAAATATTCTCTTCTAATCTGACTTCACATTTGTATATATGTTTGATTAGCTTTTCTTGATCCTGTTTGCAAAATCATACGATAGTGACTATGCCTAAAATAGCCCTTGTGATTTTTGAAGTAGAGAAGAACTCTTTTTAGGAGAGATTTGAACATTAGTTTGGGTTGAAATCCAAAAATAATTTTAAGTAGATATTTACTTTGATTCACAGTTTTCATATGAAATGAATTGTTGAAATACTGATTGTTATTCTTTCTTTTTTACAGCTGGAAAAGCAGTGTCCGTGTTGTTATGTACACCTTCAAAAAAGTTCAGATCTGTAGGGGAATTGTTGTGTAAAGTAAACAACTCCAGGGTAGCAGTACTTTAATAGATTTTATAGCCGTGTATTTACTGTATTAAAAATGAGTAAAAGAACAAGCAATGACACATCACTAGGAAGGTCAGTGACGTTTTATTCAGTTGAGCTGGTATTATAGGCTTGAGACATAATGGCTTTAAAGCTGATTGCCCACGGGCTAATCATCTTTTACATTTTGATCAACATTTTTTATCTCAGGCAACTTCCTTTCTGCTACCTTTCCTTGGAGCATGGATTCTTCTCTAATTTAGAAGATTTCGCAGTGCATATGTTTTGCCTTTCCCTTTGAAGGCATGTCATGTTTTTTAAAAATATACATGCAAATATGATATTCAGTACAAATGATGAATAGTGTGAACCTTTCACACTATGGTCCCTCAACATGAATGCATACATTAAGGATTTATTAATGTATATTCTTTATTTGATTTTCAAAATCTCATCTCAGTCATCAGGTGTAAATTCAGTAAGAGAAGTTTTAATTTGTATTTTGTGAAACTCAGGGGGTTGCTTCTTTTTTAGTAAATCTAGAATTAGCACTATTTACCTTCTGAATCTGATTTTCATCCTTAAAAAATTTTATTTTTTCCATGCATGATAGCAGTTTCTAATTGCATTTTTAATAAAGTCCTAGCAGCTTCCCTTCAAATAATTCACTAGGAAATTTCTATTTGGGTTTTATTTTCAGCAGTTTTTATTTATAAGCAGCATGCCTATCTGTTTATGCAACGAGGAAGAGAGAGTGTATGTATGTGCATATTCATGTTGTAGTTATACACAAATTTTAAAAATTTGCTCCTAAATAGTAACCTCAAGGTGCAACTTCAACTAAGTGGGATGGTATTATGTTGAGAAAAGCGTTTTCTTCCATCTTATATTTTTCCTTTGTATGTGTTCAGTACTCACAAACGAGAAGTCTTCTTGTGCTTTTTCTAAAAGGTATTGTCTTCTAACTCACTACATAGAGAAGACTGGCATGTTAGCGCTTATTCACCCCGTTCTGTACATTTTTTGCCCACAGAGTGAGTGGGGCCGCCTTTCCTTCTCCCACTGCTGCTGAGATGGCGGAAATTAGTCGAATTCAGTATGAAATGGAATACACCGAAGGTATTAGTCAGCGAATGAGGGTCCCGGAAAAATTAAAGGTAGCACCACCAAACGCTGACCTGGAGCAAGGATTTCAAGAAGGAGTTTCAAACGCTAGTGTGATCATGCAAGTTCCAGAGAGAATTGTGGTAGCAGGTATTTTATATTTGTTTATAAAGTTGTCCAATAAACCTTTATTTTATGTATTTTTATGAAAACTTTGGGAACTTTCCAAAAGATTTAGAAAAAGGATTGGGGCCCACTCCAGTATTGTTGCCTAGAAAATTCCATGGACAGAGGAGCCGATGGGCTGTAGTCCATGGAGTCACAGAGTCGGACACAACTGCGCAACTGAGCACAGAAAAGGGATTGAGAGATGCAACTTTACATTTTCTTCAAAAAGTGTATTAATTACCATAGTCTGAAATTTCAAATAGTATTTGTTAATAGTTCAACTAATTATTGAAGTATGATTTGCATACATAAAATGTGTGTAATTTTAAAGTGTATAGCCTGATGATTTTTGACAAAAGTATACTCCTAGGTAACCTCTACCACAGTCCAGATATAGAACTTTTCATTATCCCACCCCAAATGGTTTTTTATTCAGTTCTTACCCCTCAATTCCAGGCAACCATAATCTCCTTTTTATAACCAGAGATCAGATTTATCTTTCCCAGAGTTTTGTATGAATAGAATGATAGCACTTTATTATATACTCTTGGGTCTGGCTGCTTTTGCATAGTGTTACATTTTTGAGAGTCTTCCATATTATTGCTTGTATCGATTGTTCTTCCATTTTATTTCTAATATCCCACTGTGTGGATATACCACAAGTAGCTTATATATTCACTTGTTGGTGGACATTTGAGTTGTTCCTTTTTTAGTGCTATTAAGAAGAAAGCTGCTATGAAGACACATGTTTTCATATCTCTTAGGAATAAGTTGCTAGATCACATTATAAGTTCTGACTTTTAACTTTATGAACAGCTGTCAAACTATTTTTGAAATTGATTGTACCCTGCTATGTTCCCATCAGTGACATATGAAAGCTCCATTTGCTCTGCATCCTTGCCAATACTTTGTATTGTTAGCCTTTTTAATTTTAGCTATTTCTGGTGGGTGTGTAGTGGCAAATACATTTGAATAAAACCAGTATCTTTTTAAAAACCTCCCTCCTCTGTATTGTTTTTACTCTCAGGAAATAATGAAGACATTCCATTTTCAAGACCAGCAGATCTTGACCTTGTACAGTCAACTCCCTTTAAGCCTCTGGCTCTAAAAACACCACCTCGTGTGCTTACACTGAGTGAAAGGCCGCTAGATTTTCTGGATTTAGAAAGACCTGCTCCAACCCCTCAAAATGAAGAAGTAAGTATTGGAGCTTTAACAGCATCTGAACTGGAAATAACATAGACAACTGCAAAAGTTAAAGAGGCGTCAAGAGCCTATAAATCCTGTCATTAGCAATATGTAATGATACCCTTCTACATGGGCCATGGATTGCTATAAATTCTGGTTTATAGATACTTGAAATTAGATACTGTGCCTTTTTTTTTTTTCAATTTAAACATCATATTTCAGGAAATAGACAATTTTGTGGAAGGCATTAACAATCATGGGGTCTTGAAGGAAGAGCTTTTATGGCTAGGAGTCACTTTAAGCAATACAGAAAATTTGGGGAAGTTTAGCATGGGAAAAAATTAACACATCATTTTGTTATGAAAGCTGTCTGGCAGTTGGCAAAAGCTCTTTTTTTCCTCTTGACACTACCTGTTCTCTTGCTTGCTCCAAAGTTTTACTGAGTTACCATGTTTTGTAAGGTTACTAGCCCTTTTGACCTAAATATGGCAGTGTATGGACTAATAAGATGTTAGTAGCAAAGTTCAGATTTTGCCTTTGCTGTTGATTTAGGGCCAGTCTTGTAAAACTCCTTTGCTGTGATTTCTGTAGTTGTAACTTTTTCATTTTAATTCCTGAATTCCTATGTTGTCATGATTCTAGTAAAAGGCAATATGCAAAGATAAGTTTTTATTGATAATGAAACTGCCTTTGTGTTTCATCTTTCATACAGTCCTTCCTAAGAGAGTACATCATGCACATAACCTACAGGAGTGCAGTTTCCCGGTACTAGGTATAGCCTTTTCTTAGGCTGGAAGTTTCTGCTGAGGTGACTCAGATAATACACTTAGAGGTGCCAGTTTAGACATTCCGCATATTTGCTTGATGAAAAGTACTAAATTTGAGTCTTTACATGATGAAAAGGCCCGAGGTGCTTGCAGGACTGTATTTAACAGACATCTTCTGAGCTTTTGTGTAAGACAGTGCAGTGAGACACGCTTCCTTCACAGTGGTCTGAGTGAGGGAAAGACCCTGATGGCTGTGAGTAATACTGTCTTGGAATGAGAATTCTGCCAGAAGAGAAACTCTCCCTTTGATATTCCTTTAGTGTTGTTTGCCTTCTGATCTTCATGATCCCACTGTTTTAGACACTGCTTGGTGTGAATAACCAGCCTGAAAACAAGCTGAGCACTGTCATGAGTGACTATTTTTTAATTAAAATAATGTTTTATTTTAAAATAATAAATAAGTGGCACTTATGTTTTTATATAAATCACCCCCTGTTTTCTGAATGATTAAGGATGAGTGACAGAAACTTTTTTACCGAGACTTCCCTCAGTAGACCTAGATTCTAAGCTGTGTGAGGTTTACTCCTGCAGTAATTGTGATATTTAGTCAAATGTGATAAATGTCCGAAGTGTATAGCACTGAAGCGAAAAACTGAGCCTGAGAATTAGTCTTAATTTTGAGGGCCTACTTTGCTGCTTACTAACCACATAACTTTCGTCTAGTTCTTTAACTGTTCCAAGGCAAGGCTTATCTCTAAAAGAAGAGAATAATGCCAAGTACATAAGATTATTAAGAGAATTAGGTGTAATAATAGGTATAGTATGTTTAGCACATGGTTCTAATTGACGTTTAAAGATCAGTAGGTACAAATATCATTATTATGAAAGTTAGCATCCTCTGGCAGGAAATATGGAAATAAGTGTCTTATCAACAGATGAATGGATAAAGAAAATGTGAGATACACGCAGAGAAACACACAGATACAATGGAATACTACTCAGCCATAAAAAGAAAGAAATTTTGCCATTTACAACAGCATGGATGGACTTGAAGGGTATAAGACTAAGTGAAATGAGTCAGAGAAAGACAAATACTATATGATATTACTTATATGGGGAATCTAAAACATGCAACATACTAGTGACCATAACAGAAAAGCAGCAGACTCACAGACACAGAATAAACTAGCTGTTATTAGTGGAGGGGTCGGCATTAAGAATTGGGGAGTGGGAGGCACAAACTATTGGGTGTAAGATAGGCTACCAGGATGTACAACGCAGGGAATATAGTCGGTATTCTGTAATAACTATAGAGTGTAACTTTTCAAAATGATATGAAAAAAAAATAAAACAGACCATTATAGGGGAAAATACTAAGGCATCTGAGCAGATTCTTGAGGGAGAGATAAGATCTGAATAAATCTGGAGAACCAGTAAACAAAGACCTCATGGACATTGATTTGTCCAGGATTCGTTTTTATATATAAATACCTTCAAGTGATTTTGACTTTTGGTTTAACTGTAAAGAACTCTTGCAGTAGACTCCAAGCCAACTCCTTTTCTGTTTTTTTTTTTTTCTTTTGTTCAGATGGATAAGTGGTTCATAATCATAACCAAATCTAAACCACGCTTTGAAGTTATGTGCTGCTTAGTATGATTTTAAGTTTTGTTGGCATGAAATACAGGATTTTTCCTGCTCTGATGGTGCTTATAGCCTGATGATCTAGTCCCAAGTCTTTTTTAAGAGCATTAATGGATACTGGGTTTGCATTTTTGAGAATGTTAATCTTCAAGCCTGTTGGTTCACACACCAGTTGTCATTTACAATAAAATCTAAATTTTAACCATTAAGTTGCCAGAGGTGTTTCCAGTAAAAAAAAAAAAAAATTTTTTTTTTAAGCAGAAAAGTTCATGATTACCATTGTTTGTTATCTCCTCTGTGTGTGTGTGTGTGTGTGTGTGTGTTAGTCACTCAGTTGTGTCCGACTCTTTGTGATTCCCATGGACCATAGCTTGCCAGGCTCCTCTGTCGATGGAATTCTCCAGGCAAAATACTAGAGTAGGTTGCCATTTCCTTCTCCAGGGGATCTTCCCAAACCAGGAATCGAACCTGGGCTCCCACATTGCAGGCAGATTCTTTACTGTCTAAGCCACCAGGGAATCCCCAGTTATCTCCTGCTGCCCATTAAACCACCCTCAAGTTGGTGGCTTGAAATAGAAAGAAATTGCTTATTTTGCTCATGGATTTTTTGGGTGAGGTATTTGCATCAAACATAGTGGGGAAAGCTTGTTTCTGTCGTATATTGTTTGGGCCCAGGCTAGGAAGTCTCAAAGGCTCGGGATGACTCAACAGCTTGAGGCTGCAGTCATCTGAAGGCTTACTCACTCATAGGTCGGTTGATACTAGCTATTGTGTAGACCTCGGCCAGGATTATAGACTGGCATAACTGTACATGGCCTTTCTGTCTGGCCGCTTGGGTCTTGGTGCTGTTGTTCCAAACAATGAAAGGGAAAGAAAGCAGAAGCCTTAGTGTTGTTTCTCACTTAACCTCAAAAGTCACATTTATCATCTCTGTAGCAGTCACTAGCCCACCTAATTTCAAGGGAAAGAAACAAAGATTCATCCTTTAATTCCATCTCTCTAATGGAAAGAGATTTTATAAGAAGAGCATGTACGGTGGAAGATTGTAGCTATTTCTAGAATGCTAAAACTTTTAAGCCTGTGAGATTTTTTTTAGTTTTCAAATATCTAATCTGAATTTGTTTTAACCTCAGAAGCCTTATTTGTAATATTTACAAATATATCCCATTTCCTATAGTGTAAGTGCCTTTAAAAGCTGTTGTGAATTATTGGTAAGTAATGTAAGTACTGATGCTGGGAAAGATTGAGGGCAGGAGGAGAAGGGGATGACAGAGAATGAGATGGTTGGATGGCATCACTGACTCAATGGACATGAGTTTGGGTAAACTCTGGGAGTTGGTGATGGACAGGGAGACCTGGCGTGCTGTGGTTCATGGGGCCGCAAAGAGTTGGACGCAACTGAACTGAACTAAATAAGTTTATTGCATAATTATAATAAATAAAAATATTAATAATTGTACCAGGTAAGATTGAGACTTAAAAAGCAACTACAAGTCACTATTTTCATAAAGAAGCATTCCGAAGTTTATCTGCATTATAGTAAGTAGAGGTTTTTTTCTTAACATGCCCTGCATATAATACACACACCAAGTAGCAATTCATGGTTGTGTTCTTTTTTAATTTTGTGAGTAGTCTTAGATTAAGGTCCTTTTAATGCTAAGCAACTACTAGACTACTAAGAATATTTTCTGTTCCTTTCCCTTTCTTTGTGCCTAACAGATCCGTGCAGTTGGCAGGCTAAAAAGAGAACGCTCTATGAGTGAAAATGCTGTTCGCCAAAATGGACAGCTGGTCAAAACTGACTCCATGTGAGTAGAACCACTAAGCATTGTATCTCATTCATAAGTTGTCTCTATACACTGCCTGTCCCATCCTTTTCTAAATGATTTACCTACTCTCAAATATTTAAAGAGAAAAAAAAGGATGAAGTGTATGTTTTATACCTAAGAACCTGAAGAAAAAAGTCATTTACTTCTAATAGTGTTTGCAGTTTATCATGTAATACATTTACATCAGTTTTATATTTTTGTAGTACTCTTCATAACCTTAAATTTGGGGAAGAAACAAAATAAAGCATAAAAACACTTTGTTAAGGAAACATCTTCATTTTCAGGTTACTTAATTTGTGATTAGGTTGTAAAAGGACTAGCCGGCTCTGCTTCTAATGAGCCATGGTAAAGAATATAGCATAACCAAATGGCATTGTTTTTGTGTTCCAGGATTATTTTTTTAGCTCTCTTCCTACTGAGTCACAGAATTCTTAGACCCTTCTCATTTTCTAAAAATTTAAGTACATTGTTTAAAGGACTATTTGTGTAAACCTTTCTTTCTCACTTGATTATGTTATCATACCCTGATCTTAAAAGCTACCCCTACCATAAGATGTTTTAAATTGGACAAGTGATTTTAAGTCTCAAAGCCATTGGTGATTTAAATTATATAAACTACTGTTTCTTCCTCATTAAATTTTCAACTCACTTATCATGAACCTGATTTGATGTCAGACATCACGTTACTCTCTCTGGGAACTAAGAAAGAATCAGGAGGTGATAATGTCTCTCACAGCTTGCAAATCTAGATAAAAAGCAAAACATTTAAACTTACATGGAAATACAATTACACACAATACAATTATGCCATTTGTGTTAAACTGTATGAAGTTTTAACTTGGGCTTGACTAAAGAATATAGGGATGCAAAAGGGACTTTGATGGGGATTGAGTCTCTCTTTTTTTGCATTAGGCGCAAAGGAGAACTGTAACTGTTTTCATTTCTTGGGGAATCTTGAAATGCCTTCTAAAGTAGTTACAGTTATTCTGAAGCATTATATAGGAAGATAGGAAGTTTGAAAGAATATATGTCTCCTTCAGGGAAGGCTTATCTGAAAGGTTCAGCCATTTTTAATAATGAATTTTTTTGTGATAATTGTATGTTTTCCTGCAGGCCCATGGCTGGCAGTGATAGCCAGTCCATGGAATTCCTTTTTCTAGACTATGTTAAAATATGTTACACAAGTGGTGAAAAGACTACCTAATTTATGGTGAAGGTAGCTTCTTGATGTTTAGAACCCTCTCAGAATGATTAAACATAGACCTAAGGGCTTCTGTTATTTTCTATTTGTAATATTTTTGAGGGCACCAAAAGTTTCTAATTAACTTTCCTGTTATATAAAGATATTGCTTTTTATTTAGTCCATGATTACTTTGAAATTTCCCATAATGCAATAAAATTAGGACTATTTTACTATAGCATCACTTTTGATTTTTTTCCCTCACAAAGTATATATTACTGATAGCTAAGTTCAGTTGACAAGAAAGGAAATGGCTCTGCTCTATAATACATAAAAACCAGGCTTGTGAAGCATGAGCTAGAGTGAATGACTAGTTCATAGATACTTTTGCAGTTACCAGTGATGAAAGTTCCTCAGAAAAGATGAACAAAGTTAGCTAATATTTGAGTTCTTTGTTTCTTTAAGTCCCTTGAAAGGCATTTTTTAGATGAGGGGTACCCCAGTCCCCAGGCCACGAACCAGTATTTGGCCGTGGCCTGTTAGGAACCAGGCCACACAGCAGGAAGTGAGCAAGCCTGCAAAGTTTCATCTGTATTTACAGCCACTCCCCATCGGTCACATTACAGCCTGAGCTCCACCTCCTGTCAGATCGGTGATGATGTTAGATTCTCATAGGAGCACAAACACTAACCCTAGCGTCAAGGCAGAATGTCCTGAGATTGCCACAAAATAGAAATAAAGTGCACAATAAATGTAGTGTGCTTAAATCATCCTGAAAACATCCCCGCCCCTGCCCCTCCATCTTGGAAAAATTGTTCCATGAAACCAGTCTTTGGTGCCAAAAAGGTTGGGGACTGTATTCTAGATGTTTAATAAAACAGAATCTCATGTTTTAATTTTTGGTTGTAAAAATAGCATGAATATTCAACTATACAATTTTGCAATAGAATGCTTACCTTCCTTAACCATACTTTTTGTTTTGGTAGTTATGTATGTTACCATGGTAAGATACTTAACCATCTTTTTGTTGATAGTGTGACCTTGCCCTTTCTTCTGCTGCTGTTATTAATTTTATTATTTATAATTGTATTCATCTTTGAGAATCTACATTTGCTAAACTTTCAAATTTTTATATAATGAGCAAATTATGTATTTAATGCTGGTAATATGGTAAGGAAGAAGCTATTAACATGGTTCAGCTGTATTTTACCTCTACCAAAGTAATCATTGGACTCTTCCTATCTTTACCCACTTGAGCCTTTTCTCTGTGATCTGATCTGATTATGTGTCATTGTGCATGAACCTTTGCCTGCCTCCACTTTATTTTATTCCTTGGATTTAGGAATAGAAGTCCATAGGGGTATAAGAGCAGGAGCGCTGATCTTGTTCTCTCACTTACTTTTTTTTTTCTCTCACTTACTTTCAAAGAGACAATAGGGCTTATTATTGACACAAAAATGATCAGTAGATTCGTATTTAGCTTTTTTCTTTGTGTTATAAAAGCTGAATATGTAAAAGAAGCATAATTATTATTTAAGGTGGCACAGATCAGATTCTGCCCCAAGAAATAAAATTTCAAGGTTCCAGGCACCGATTTCTGCACCGGAGTACACGTAAGATATTATCTCTCTGCTCTGCTTTTCACAATTAGGAGTTGTTTTAATTTTTCAGGCTTATGTGACACTAATATTTCACCAGGTAATCAGCATGTACTGCCCTAATTCTCTTACTGTTTGGCTTTTAAGTACCTCTGTTTCAGGATTTCTCAAGCTGTTATCATACACTTTGTTAAAAAAAAAAAAAGCTAGATCAGCTAAGGAAGTTATATATGATTTGCAGTATAATGGTGAAAGTAGAATGGAATAATTCATACCAAAAATCCTTTCTAGTTTCTTTGCTTTCATTGGCATATTAGTTCTCTGTGGATCCAATTCAATCAGATTCAGTGGTTTCAATCTTTAAAAAATTTTAGCACACTATCTTTTATTGTTTATTTTCACTCAGAAGAAGAAAAGGAGTCTAATGAGTCATTTAAGTTTTTTTTTTAATTCCATATATTAAAATTAAGCTTTGGAAGAATATTGTGAGATCATTAAGCCCACTCTTCCTGTATGTGTGATACAGCAAGGGATGGGAATGACTGGCCTCTTACGGGGAGGGGAAACTTTGGCATGCAGTATAGGATTCAACAGCTAGTGTAGTTCTCAAGTACCAGAAACCGTTCTGACAACCGGTGATTTCTCTCTTGATTCTGATTCTCTTATTATACTTCTAAGAACTACTAAATTACCTTAGTGGCAAGAAATTAAAACTTTAATCTGTATTTAAAATTTCAAGAGAAATGGTGCAAAATCTGTGATTCAGTGAAATTTTTTTCTTCCCTTTCTTACGGTTTTACCTTTACTATATTTTTTGGAAGAGACTGGAGCCTCACCAAAGAGATTATCCTCGCAGTTTGAGAAACACTATTCCTATGAAAACCCGTGGAAAAAAAGAGGTGTTTGACTTTGGACTTATGTTATAATAATAGCTATGCCAAGTCAATTTTCATTTAAATTTGAGTTCTAACATTGACTAGTGTTGTTTATTCAACACTCACATAGTAAGAGTTCATATAGGCATGAGAGAGAGCTATTACTAATGAAATAATATGACAAACATAAGTACATTCTTCAAAATTTCCTTACTTTTATAAAAGAAAAAATGTAAAGCTGAGATTTTGCTGTTTTATAACGTTACTAGGATGAATTTATCATCAACATGCAATTTTATTAAATCACTAATACTGTAACATTTGCTTGAATAATCTCAGTGCCTTTGCAATATGTTTACTTATTTTTCACAAGAGTTCATGTGTCAAAACCAAAAACCAAAGTCACTCCACTTTGGATGGGTGGGCAGAGATGAAACTCAGCTCTGAAAGCACTGTTTCCTGTCACGGTTAATGCCACCAGTACTGGGCATCCCAGCTAGCATCAGGCCTATCACTAACATGGGACTTATTCTTTTTTTGTTCTTAGATTTGTTTATTTTTAAAGAGACTCACAAAACTGCTTAAAGCTTTAAAAAGAAAGAATTACCAGACTCTTCTAATTAGTGTAGCTATGATCATCTTATGATTTAATCATTCAGGTCATCTGTAGATAGAAATAGATTAACCATTAAGGGCATTTAATCTGTACGTATACTGCCCAAACTGGTCATCAGTGTATGAAGTACTTCTACTCTGATTTTGCCGTTTATGAAAGATTGTTTATGAAAAGTTAAGTTTCTTAACTAATCTTTGAAACTTTTGAGAAAAAGTTTTCTTTTGAGAAACAACCTGAAATCCAAATATGATTTTGATGTTAATCTTTGATGAAATATCTTTACTAGCATTAGTGAAGACTTAATTTTAATTTTATTTTTCTACATTAATATGTTTTCTTACTAAGTTACCATTGAGGACTGTGTATGGTTTTTTCCACTTAATACAATATTCCAATCTTATATGATTGTAGAATCTTAGAATTGAAGGTGATCTTACAGACTTTTTAAAACTCAGTCTTCTGTGCATTACATCTGAAGAATGCTTTGCAGTTAATCTGAAAATAATTTATGCTTGATGACCTGATTTCCCATGTATGGACAGGAAACACTTGTACTTTTAGAATTTAAATAAACAATTCCTATTGCTTATTTCTGACAAAGTGAGTTTTCTCCAAGGAAGCCTTCTTTCCTTTTGAATTTTGATGGGCAAAAATCCATCAAAGCTTTTTCATGGATTTGGATTCAGTTTGTTGGCATTTTTACTCTTAATATTATAATTCTAAATAGTGATCATTATAGACTTTATATAGGTAGCTCATTTATATACTGTTTCAAATTGGTATATGCAGTGTTCAATTTAAGCCCCAGAATATGAAGACAAAAGCTTCAATTATGTCAGTAGATACTGTCCTGAATAGTCTTTTAAAACTTGCTTAAGTCAGTTTAGCTAGGTATGATGGTGTTGCTGTCAAGAACAGTGTCAGATGGATGCCTGTTTATGTTGATGAAGAACTGGCCATTTTATTCCTGCCTCTGGTGACACTTTTCTAACATGAATTGAGTCTGTTTTCTTAGAAGGAGCAAGAACTTCAGGTATTCTGTATGCTGCCTGAAGAGAATGTTGAGTACAAGCCTAGTACCTAGACTTTGAGTCCCAGATATACTGTTTCTTTTACTCTTTTTGGATACCCAGTTTGGGTTCTGCTGAGTACCATGGATCAGTTGATATTTATTGTTGTCGATAAGTTATATATATATATTCCAGAAGATTCCTAGTCTGTGGACAGATGTTTCAGGTAACCATCCATGAGTCTGCATCTGAAAACTTGCATTTATCTTGACACCATGAGGCCTCATTCGTATGGTGAATCAGCCCTGACAGATTACTGGAAAACATGGTTTTCATGTATTTTGTACTTTTTGCTTTGGATCATCAAGACATTGAAAGTTATTCACAAAATTGTGGAGAAGATTTCATTTTTAACTTTCTGGGACTCTGGGAATAATATTAGATGACAGTTACCCTTTCAAAAATTATCCCACTCATTTCGTGGTTACCAAAGATATTAAGTAAAAAATTACCACGGATCAAAGTATAATCTTTTCTTTTTTTTTAATTTAAAAATTTTTTTAAATTTTTTCCCAATTATTTTTATTAGTTGGAGGCTAATTACTTTACAATATTGTAGTGGTTTTTGCCATACATTGACATGAATCAGCCATGAATTTACATGTGTTCCCCATCCTGAACCCCCTATTCCATCCCTCTGGGTCATCCCAGTGCACCAGCCACAACATCCAACCTGGACTGGCGATCTGTTTCACACTTGGTAATATACATGTTTCGATACTGTTCTCTCAGATCATCCCACCCTCGCCTTCTCCCATAGAGTCCAAAAGTCTGTTCTATACATCTGTGTCTCTTTTTCTGTCTTGCATATAGGGTTATCGTTACCATCTTTCTAAATTCCATATATATGCGTTAGTATACTGTGTTGGTGTTTATCTTTCTGGCTTACTCACTCTGTATCATGGGCTCCAGTTTCATCCATCTCATTAGAACAATCTTCTCTTGCAGTTGTTCACTATCTGCTCCACCTGCACTCTGCTGTATATAATGTGCAAGGATGAGGCTCAGTCTAAGGTGTTCTTGCCCTGACACAGAAAATTATTGAGCCCACGTCCCATAGTTCTCTTATTGTAACAAATCAGATGCCAAGTCCTTAAATCAGTTAAATACCTCATATTGCTGATCATGCTCTAAAATTAGACAGTTCTCTGAAAATAAGAATCCACATTAGAACTGTAAACTCACTTCTTTGAAATGTGCTTAGCTTTTAGGAGAAACTGTAAGTGGAACCAAAGACATTGTCAGTCTCAACTCACATATAAAAGAATGACCAAGATTATTGTTACTGAGAAACCAAAAAATGATCATTTAACCTCCATCTGGATAATTTAAGAAGTATCCTCACCTTTTCATTGTATTCAGGGAATGTATGCTTTAATTGAGTAGTCAAAATGCTTTTTGTTGGCTTTCTGAAACTTTGATTCATCTTTAAATTTACTTGGCATAAACTAATTGCTTCATTGTCTTTGTGAAGTATTTGAAATTGGCATTTTCATGGAATCCCTTTCATTTTATGCATGTAAACTTTGCCTGACAGCTGTATACTGAAATTCCCTATCTTACTCTTCTGATCATCTGTAAGTTGCAGTGCCGTGTTTGTTAGAGGCTTGGGTTCACACTAAGAACGCTGTTTCTCCAGAGGCGGGGGTTGCAGTTGCTCTGCCCTGGTTCTCTTCCCTCTTAAAGTTGTCCTTTCATATTCAGTCTGTTTTAACTTGATGCTTAGAGCTACACAGTTACATATGCTTCATGGTAGCTGGGTTTTAAAAAAGCCACAGAAACAGTTTAACATGTTTATTAACTTATTTGGCCTGACTCTTTGGGGGGACAATGAAGGGTGGGGGAAATGGGCAAGAAAACTAAGCTAATTTTTAAAATATGGGTGCTTGGGGAAAATGTTGAGCTGGGGTTTTACAAAAATCTGACTTGAGTGTTTTTCTCTTCATTTGCTGTGCTTATGTGAACAGTGTGACACCATCGCCACCGCAGGTCCGGGTTTGCCCTCCCCGTATGTTACCTGAAGACGGAGCTAATCTTTCCTCTGCTCGTGGCATTTTGTCGCTTATCCAGTCTTCCACTCGTAGGGCTTACCAGCAGATCTTGGATGTGCTGGATGAAAATCGCAGGTGATTGGCCATCACTGACTCTTGCCAACTTTTCTGCATTATTTTTTGGCTCCTTTTTAGTGGACTGTGGTGTCTTCCTTTTATGTTTGCACCTTTGTCTCTTTCTCAGATGCAATGATTTAAAGAGCTTGCTTTGCTTTCTTTTAATTTGAAATTATTGTCCAAAATTCACATTTCAGAAGATTCTGTAAGCTTCTCTTCAGTTGAGGTACAGCAGGAGGGGGTGGGATACAGTTAGTAACTACCGATACACGGGAAATATATTGATTCCCCCCCCCCCAAGACCTTGCTGAGCTGTTCTAAGTACTTGATTCCATTTTGGATATGCTAAGGGGTACTTTTGGATCCAATGTGGGATGTTGGGCTGAATTGTACTCATTTTTGTTAGTAAATCTTTAATCATTTATGATACTAATGTGGTTGGATTAGTAAGCAAATCTTAGAAGATGAAGTCAGTGTAGCTGCTGGGGCTTTTTTTTTTTTCCCCCTCTTCACTAGGGATTTCTAAGCCTGTGCTAAAAATCCCAGGTGCTGTTGTTTTTTTGTTAATAATACTGATTGTTCTCAATATGGATGGCGTGTCTCACTTCTGAATGCCTCCAGTTAAAATCACTAGTAGCATACCTAGAATTGTTCATTCAAATGAATTTTTTGCCATTATTTTGAATACCCTTTTCTCCTTGCTTCATTAGTAGGTAGTGTTTTAAAAAGATGAAATTTGAGAGCTTTTTGGCAGAATGTGAGGAAAGTACAGTCAATTTCACTTCAACTCTAAACATTTTATGTAGTAATAACTCTGTTGAGTCAGTGCTTGAATTTTCATAATCATTTTATTAGGATGTTAACTTTGCTTTCTGAACAATTTCCAATAAATTAAACAGACCTTTCCAGTAGACCTTCTTTCTTACCTTGGGAACTGAGATGTCTCGTGACTTGCTCTGAACAAACTTTTGCTTGTTACCTGCTCTTGAGCCTCACACAAGCCCCAGGTGTTTCTCTTCCTTGATGAGCACCGGTCATGCCTCTGGACTAGGGCTCCTGACCCTTCCCAGTGTTCCCATACGTGTGGGCCCAGGAACTTAAAGCCATACTAGAAAGAGCCTAACAGAGAAAGTTCATGGCAAGGGCAAAATTGCATCTATGTGTACCTGTATTCATGTATGGGTGGGGGTGTGTGAGGGCGTGTATATATACACATTATGAATATATACATATATGTATGTGTATATATATCCCTCCCTAAGGGTTTAGAGTCCCTGTTACACTCTTTAAAGCTTCAAGGACTATATTAGATTATAAGAAGCATCATGGTTTAGAACAAAAAGCTTGGATTGAAGGGATCGGATTTAATCTTGGTCCACCGCACTGAGTAATTTGCCACATGCTGACCTTGAACAAATTGCCTAGCTTCTCTGGGCCTCGTTTTCTTCATTTGTTAATCCTAATATTACCTAGTTTTCTGGATTCTCATGAGGACTCTTCTTTCCTCCCTTGTCTTTATTTTAAGATATAAAGATGGCCTCAAATTTTTTGTTTAGTGTCATGAGAGATACTTAAAAAGATATTTAATATAAAGTACCTGGCACTTGACTAGTATTTCCAAATGCCTGTTTTCTTCTCCCTCCTTAACATAGATTTATTCTTTACCAGGTATCCTCTTTAACTTTTTAATTATAATAAGTCCTTACAAGAGGCTAGTCTATTAGGTCAAATTTATTTTATCAAATGCTATTACAGTGAAAATATCTGAATGGGAAAGATGTTTTATAAATCCTATATAGATGACAAAGATGCATCCCCCTGCATACACACAGCTCAATGCAGTGTATGGAAAAATAGTTGTATTTTTTTTAATCCATAATGGAACAATTTTGCCTTAAATTCAAAAGTATCATAAGAAATCTTATTAATTGTAAAATTTGCTTTGTATTCTATTATTTATGAAAAATTATCTTGAGCTTTAAGTGATTTTTTTAATTGAAATAAATTGATAATTTTAAAATTCCCTTTTCTGTGAAGAAAGTATCTTTCTTATTCACTTAAGTGAGATTTTTTAAAAATTCATAAAGTAGTTGTAGTAATAATTCTTTGCTCCTGTATATATACCTTGGAACCTGGAAGAATAGATTATCACTAGTATTATTGGTTGCTTTCAACTTGAAAGGTTTTTATTCCCCCCCCCCCCCCCCCCCCACAAAAATCCCCCCCCCCCCCGTTGTATTTACTAATCTAAATGTTGTACAAGATTTAATCAGAGTTGTAGATGTCAAATTAGTTTTTATTTCTGCTAGGAGAACTGTCTAGCTTGACTTATCAGATACAAGAAATAGGAATGTGAAATTTGGATAATGTTCTACTTGCATGACTATTAAATAATATTGCATATAAAGTTTGAAGTGCTTTTATGTTCCTTGCTCTGTATATCTTTTTTTTCCTTCCTATTTTTTATTCTTGGCTGTTATGCTAATGCAGTGTCTTATCTTTGGTCTTAAGCCATTGTATTAGATACAGTTAATAAAGTTAGAACTGTTTGACAGAAAGAATGAAAAAAACCTTTCTGCCTGTTTTATTATCATAAAATAAGGCATTTTTGCTGTTGCTTGGCATAAGAATTATTTTTAGTTTATACTCTGAGGGTCACTGTTGAAAGGTTTATGTATTTTGTTTTTATTTTCTCATCTTGAGAACTTATATGACCCAAAACCAAGTGCAATGTGAAAACAAAGTTAAATTCTAGGTATGCGTTAGAAAAGCTTACTTACATAGGTTGGTGCTGTGCATTTGGAAAACTGAGGTATAAGAAAAAAAATTTACCAAACCATCTGAAATAGCAAGTACCAGGTGTGTTCTTTGGATTTAAAAATGCTGTTTAGTCCATGCTAGTTAGGAAATGCTCACATCTCCTGACACCTTCTAGAGCTCTGTATCTCACTCTCCAATACAAAATATTAATGTTTTTAAAAAGAAACTTAGTACCTCTGAAAGAACGCTATTTAAGTACTCAAATTAGTCATGCTCAGCATGCTTAAGTTTTATACTTCCTTGACAGTCCAGTAATTAAGACTCCACTCCTCACTACAGCTGCTAGGGACAAAGGTTCAAGCCCTGGTCAAGGAACTAATATCCCACATGCTGCCCAAGCACAGCCAAAAAAAAGAAGGGGCTTAATTATTTCTGGTTTTGATTCAATACAGTAAGAAGCCAATTTGTAAATAATTTATATTTTTGTAAATAATTTATCCATGTAAATACATTACTTGGAAGACCTAGAAATTCAGAGTTGCAGTTGAGACAGTATCTGTTATTTATAATTTATCTTTTTAAAAAATACATGTAATTCCTGGTACATCTACCCTGTTTACTTACTGTAGCAGTTTCCATGTTTTTGTTTTTGTTTTTTTTTAGCAAAAAAACATTCTACTAAGACCATTTATTTACTGAAAAATGTTGATATACAAGTTGGTACTGGAAGAGCCTTAAATCTCATTCCCTTTTACCACTTTAATTACAAAACATATTTTCAAACCTGAAAAGATTTTTTAATACATTAAATCTTATTTTCAAACTTAAAATGATTCTTTAATGTATTAAGTCATATTTACAGTAGAAAGTGGTACTTGAATAAAGTTTCTAACTTTGCCAAACACCTGTCTAATTTACTTTTATATTATATGTGTCAATTGCCAGTGTGAGAAGACAAAATGAAATACGTTGTGAAAGGTAAAGACTGTATTATTTTCTGGCTCTGCATTATAAAAGGGAAATCTCTGTGGTGGAATATGTTGGATATGGTAGATCCTTTTGAGCATATACTTGAATTTTTTAAAAAAGCTTTAGGTAGCACACAGCAGTGGCTTCACTTTTAACCTTTCCCATGTTAGTGTGATGTAGGATCGGAAAGTAAGTTTTCCTAATGTCACAGAATAAATGAATTAGTAGGGTGGGATGAGTTAAAAAACCTGCCTCAAGCATTATGATTTCTTACCGTTCTTTAGCCAACAGAGGAGAAGTCTAATATCTGACTCAAAAGTCCCTTCCCCTCTAGGTTCTGTAAATTTCTTTAAGCACCAGTAGTGCCTTTAGGAAACATACAACCTAAGCATTAAGATTTTCTCTTATAAATTGATTTGACATAAAATAGTGGTATATATTGTAACAAAAATTCTACAGCTGTTCCAACTTACAGAAAAAAAAGTAGTAACATTTGATGTTAAATGTTTCCTCTAAGAATTGTGTTGATACTTAAATTCAGGTAAAACCTGATCAGCCTGTAGAGAATGAGACATTCAAAATAGAATAATAATTCTTCAAACCCTCAATGTGGCTTCTGCACCCCACTCTCCTTTCTCTGGTTATAAGTGTTGCTGATTCCTTTTGGGGGAGTTGACCAGTGACCACATAGAGCCTTTGTTTCCTGATTTAGAAAGTAACATTTATCGAAGAGGTTATCTCTTACCAGTAGAGAGCTAATTGTGCACTAGAATCCAAGTATGTGCTCAGTGAAAATGCCCACGAAGTTCCCAGTGCGCCTTAGTCTTCATTTCCAGCAGCCCCTCTGTGTCTCTCCTGGTTGCCCCTCGGGATCAGGCGCACACATTCAGTTGCACTTCCTGTGATGTGCTATTTTATGCCCCTCAAGACGTGTCCCCGACCTCAGCTCCAGAACTGGGCTCCAGCTCTGCTCTTGGGAACTGAGGGTTTTCGTGCGACCCGGCTGTATTGGATACGAGGCAGGAAGCAGGATTCAGGAGGCAGGAGGCAGGGAACTGTGGGAAGTGGGAGTTACTTCAGGTTTGTAGCTTTCAAGATAGCTGTTAATACCAGATGAGCAGCCGTGACCATGAAGGTGCTGCTAACCCCTTCTGGACACGCTTCTGAAGTTGCCGGTGGTTTTGTTTTTTCCAGCTCTAAGAGAGGAGTTACACATTTTGAACAGAATTAGTAGGATGTCAAGTACGAGCACCAAAAAATTAGTTTATATGTTGGTGCTGTTTGTTACGAGCATAAGAGGTTCCCTTTGTTTTCTAACTCATTGTAAAATGCTCAATTCATGAAAGTCATAACATGGCTGACAGCGAGACAAAGATACGTAAAGTATTTGAAATATATTGTATTGAAACATACAATATAATCCTATTTGACATTTGTTTGTCTTATTTTTGCTTTTATTTCATTACTCTCTGTTTCCTGATTCTGTCTTGTGCCTTCTCCTGCAAAAACCTGCCTTAGACCTGTGTTGCGTGGTGGGTCTGCTGCCGCCACTTCTAATCCTCATCATGACAACGTCAGGTAAACTCTGAGACTTTGTAATTACCAGGGTGAACAGTTGGTTGAGTGTGTTATTTTGCAGGACGTAATGCATGCAGCAGCCATGCCTTTAGATTATAGCTTTAACCTCTAGAGTTTTCTCTAGGTGGACCCCCTGCTTTTCGCTAAGAACAGTGAGTCTAATCACTCGTGACATTTGGCCAAGACAGTACAAAGAAAAAGTTATAATACATCACTATGTGAACGTCTGAGATGGTGTATTTAAACACAGTTTTAATGGACGATCATGCTAGTCCACAGAAAAAAAAAATCTTAAACCTGCTTCGTGTGCATTATGTTAATTGTTGCCTGAGGTTCTGTCCAGCACTTCCTTTTTAGTTGTTAATTGTCTATAATGTCACTTTGTCACTTTCACTGTATAGATAAACATGTCTGTAAAGCATCATTTTAAATTGTGAAAATTAGTATTGACAGCCTGAGAGGTTAAATGTTTAGAAAGAGAATTTAGTTTTTAAACATTTTTGTCATCTGTTGATGAAGCTTTTCTCTCTTATTTTGTCCTTCTCACTTTGAGTTATGCTTAGCCTAAAGTAGGCATTTCTTCCTGTCGTGCACAAGGACAGATAGAATGGCACATAGTAATACTTAAGATTCTCAAGTACCCAAATTCTCATTTCCCAAGTTGTACAGTTGAAAAAAAAAAATGGTACAATAATGATACCATTACTGTAATTTTTTCAGAGCCAATTTTATTTATTTTAAGAAAAATCTGCAACAGTAGATTTCAAACTGGCAGCATTATTTCAATGATGAGAGGAAGTGAGCTGGCACATTTCATCTTTAGGTAGAAGAGGGGAACATGGGTTTCTCGTTAATACTAATTTCTGATTGGAAAATTGAAAAATGTGTCCTTAGGAGTCCCATTCCACTCAACTGACTAGTTTATTTTTACATTATTAACAAGTTTTTCCTTGTGTATTGCTCATAAGTTTGTGATCCTTTTATTTTTCTGTTATTTTCAGCCAATGATCTGACTTAGAATTTCTTACAGAGATTTTAGGTCTGATAAATACATGTTTTGGTTAAAACACACATGTTTTGAGTTGAATTATACAGGTAGAGTCTTTTACATACCCTTAGATTTCTTAGCAAATGAAGATTTCCTTTACAGATGTTTAAAACTATAGTTAGTTCAGAATGTAAGTTGTGGGGAGTTCCTTTCAGTTACAGTTCATTTCTCTGCATTCAGTCTGGGTCCATTTACCTTTGAAGCAGTTGTTTCTGTTGTTTGATTCCACCCCCCCCCCCCATTATTTATCTAATATATGACCTCACAGAAATAGAAAACTTTTATTTTGAGGATAAAGTGTAGAGAAGAGGAATCTTCAACTTTTATTTTTTTCCACTAGCTGTTTAATAATTCTGCTTAATGTTAAGAGGAATTCAGATGTTTATAAACCCATAGTTCTAGCACCTACTGACTTAGTAGCTTACTTCTCTACCCAATGCAGTTATTCTCAGTATTCCAGTATATTTGCTCTATTCCCCCATAAAGGAAAGGGCAGATGAGGAGAAAGCCAGTTAATTTAGCCATAAAAGGAGTGTTTAGAGATCATTCTAGGTTATCTGAAGTCAGTACACACCAAGTGTCATTGAAATCGCAACCTGTATAATTCTAATTGGCGTTCAGAATGATGGCACTGCAGGATTATAAAATTTAAAATTGTTTCACATTATTTATTAAAGTATTTTTGAATTATTTTCAGTAGCATTTATAGCAAAAGGATTTTCTAAATAGACTTGCCTTTAACATGTCTGAATGAAAAATATAATTCTCTTCATACCCCTTTTACCCCTTTGTATGGTAATGTGCTTTTTGTTATGGAGACTTGCTTAGAGTATTAAAAACATGATGTATGTGCCAACTCTAGATTACATAGGAGTAACTTTTAAATCTGATTTATTTATAATCTGCTCATTCAGCAAAGTTAATGAGCCCATTTTATTAAAATAGCCATACAGGATTAAATAGACTGTACACGTGTGAGGTGAATTATCAGGTATGTAGATTGTATCTTACTTAAAATATATTTTAAAAGTGGAAGTCGGGACAAAGAGGAATAATAGCATTTGTGTGTTTCTCAGTAGTTGTTTGTCATTTATTTAAAAGTCAATGCCCCTTTAGAAGTAACTGCGTTTGAACAAGAAGAACTTTTTAATATTTTCTCAAGAGTTTGTCTTAGTGGCCTTCCAGCATTATGTTATACACAGCTCCTTAATTACAGTCCTTAAATTCTGGATCTGAATGTAGCGGCAAGTGTGTTCAGGTTATTTTAGAACTGCTTCTCTACAGGAGAGATTAGATAATTGGAAATAAGAAGTGAAGAGTAGAAATGGCGAGAGGGAAAGTAGAAATGGCAGTGAGAAGAGATGGAGAAATAAAAAATGACCAGTCTTAGGCTTTTAGCTGGAGTTTGTTTACTTGTATTCCCTGCCAGTGAGTCTCAGCAGGGACTTCTGAGCAGAATGACAGCTCTCAGATCTTTTCAACCAGGTGTCCTTTTTTAACACTGCCAGTCTCTGAGTTGAAAAGTGTCTCCTTATTTACATCCTTAGTCAGGGTTTCTTCTCTTTCTCTGACCTTCAAGACACTTTCCCAGGATTGTAGGTAGTTGTTCCCTTAAGCTCTTCTCTTTATTAATGCCCGTTCAGATTGATAAATATTTTAATAATTTGTACTGTTAAATACCAGTCTTTATAACAGTCCTCTGAGCATTACATAATATGTTATGTGACTTGCAAAGTACTTTTAGTTCTGTTCTAATATTAAATCGTGTTTTATTTCTCAGGTATGGCATTTCAAATATAGATGCAATGATTGAAGGAACTTCAGAAGACATGACAGTGGTAGATGCAGCTTCATTAAGACGACAGGTATTTAATGTACCAAACAGCATGTGACCCTAAATTCCATTCATGTTACATGTAAAGTGGTAGTTCCTAACATTTTATGATTTTTCTCTCCATTGTAACCCATGAATTAAAATACTTTCTCTGTCAAACTGTTTATTAAACCATAATTGATATTCCCATTTTGATTAAAGATATATTAAATCACAGTTTACAGGTTTTCATCAGCATAAAACAGTATTACCAAAATGGATTGATGTAATTCTAGCCAGCAACACAGACTGTTAACATTTTAAGCAAATCTATACAGCTGTATATTGCTCTGAAGCTGGGATAACCCTTCAGAGTTGGAGCAGGGAACCTGGGCCTTTAACACCATCACAAACCAGTTGTTGGATGCAGGCTGTCTTCATAAGGAAGCATGAACTTGGCAAGACAATTGTTTGGCCCAGGGCTGCTCATAGTAACGACCAACAGCCAGGAACTGTGCTGTTGACCAGTGACACTCCTGGCAGGTGGAGAATTAGCATTTTAGTCCTGAAGGGCCTGGGTGGCAGGTCACAGGGCCCACTCCAGTAGATTAATACACGGAGCCCTCTGAATAACTCAGAGAAAGCATAAAACAGTTAAAGCGGGCTAAATAGGAAAAACTGAAGCTAAGTGACAGAAGCTTTTAAGAGAATTTAATGAATTTAAGCTGTCTTGGGTAACATTTTTTTCCTTATATACAACTTTCTTTTTTGGTGCCGAATGAAACTTCTCATGTTTGTAATAATTCTTTTGAGAAATTAAGCTACTTAATAAGAATCTGATTGCATCATGCATTAAAGCTTCTGTTCGTTTTTCGATGTTGTTTTTCACTCAGATAATCAAACTAAATAGACGTCTACAACTTCTGGAAGAGGAGAACAAAGAACGGGCTAAAAGAGAGATGGTCATGTATTCAATTACTGTAGCATTCTGGCTGCTTAATAGCTGGCTCTGGTTTCGCCGCTAGAGGTAACCTCAGCTCTCAGAAATATTGTTTCAACAGCTGGAAATATAAAGAATTTGCAAACTTCTTTGTTTTCTGTCTTTGCATTGTATGCCGTTTCACAGTCCACGCCCTGAAAATGTATTTCTCCCAGAAAGGAGGGGGAAGGACTTACATTTGCAGAAGTAAAGGTATATTCTGTCACTTGACTGTATTTACTTTTAACCAGTTCTGCCATAACACATACTTAAAATTCACACTTTGCATGTTTTGTAAATAGGATCTAGTTGGGTTTTTTTTTTTTTTAAGGAATTTTTTTTTGCCTCTTCAGTCTGCACCACTAATTCTATGAGTGTGAGAAAGTGTATAGAAAATGGGTTTAGCGAAATGTCTGTAAAGAAAAAATAGTACTTCATTTTGTCCTATTTGTAGTGTTTTCTCAAACCCCGTTAGATTAAACAATTTAGTTAATAGACATTTTTGCATCCACATGTCAACATTAACACTACTGAAGTCCTGGTCTGGTGTCAGATTTAATAAAATCAAGCCACCCCATGTTTCATGATCACCTCCAATAAAATAATTCCTAACATTTTAAGCGGTTTATCTAAAATGTGGGTTAAAATGTGCATTTTTATTTTTATTTTGCAGATGGTTTTCTATAAAGTACATTTTTACTAAGTCCGTGTGTGAATGATTTAAAAAACTACAGAATAAGGTACAAATGTAGTGTATTTAATAAACTGTCAACCAAAGCTGTATTTGTCTGTTGAAAGATTTTATTTCATCATATTGTGCTGTGTGCTATATTCCATGTCATATTTCTTTATATGCACCTAAGTCTTCCCATCTCTGGAGCAACCTAGTACAGTTAATGACATGGCAGGTAGCAAGTCAGATCTTCATCCTGGTAGTGGTAGACACTGGTTTTGTTACAACTGTTTTTCTAATATGTATTGTCTATAAAGTGATTCAGATAGTAACACCATCAGTTCTGTTGCTTCTTCGTTGTGTTTAGCTGATATTCTAAATTTCATGAAATTAAAAGCATCCAGGAAACCAAGTGATGGAGCCTTTAGTTCCCCAACTATTTGTTTTTTTCCTTTTTTTTGGTTCAGAAATGGATAGAATTTTACTTAGGTACAGCATTCGCCATACATCTTCAGTATCTTTCTACCAAGGCAGTAAGTTTTGAGAAAGGCAGTTAGGGGAAATTCCTTAGATAAAGGTATATTCACCTGTTCTTTTCTTGCTTCTTTCCTGTCCTTCAAAAAATACTTGGAGGAGGGATTCTTTTCTTTAATTCTTAGGGTTTGTCATGAGTTTGGTGGCAGTTTTTTTTTTTTTACCCATGAAAGTCTTCTGACTTTTATATTAATAATATCCTTGTGATATCATTCATTGTAGCAATTCTCTTTATATGTATATCTCAAGGTAATTTCTGTGAATAATTGAAACAATAAAAATTATTTAAAAAACAGTCAGGGTGGTCAGGAAATACATCTTAGATATTCAAACTGAATCTCAAAGTAAATATAAAGATGTGATTTCAACAAGCAGAGAATGAAGAAAAGATTTCAGATGCAGGAAACAGTGGGAGAAAAGGATACAGTTAGGGCCAGTAACCCATTCTTCAACCTCTCGGGCTCACTAGGGCCATTAACAAGTAAGTAGCAAGTACAAGTGTAGCAAGTGCCACTACTTTCAGAACTCTTATTTAAAGGTTGGATTTTTTTTCACTTCTTGGAATATTTGTTGAAGCATTTGCTGGTTATTTACATTTGGGGGATAATTTTATGAAAATACATTTGCAAGAGAGCTTTCCTTCTTTTCCTGCATGAATGTCTGTTATCCAGCTTCTTAATTATAATTGTCATTGAATTTGAACTTTTTCTGGCCTCAAGTTTGGAAAAATGTAATTACTGTAACTGTTCTTTTACGTACAGTTTGTTATGCCAATAAGCAGACACTCCTGTATGCACAGCACTGACCTCAGCAGTAAGCAGTTTTAGCAGATACACCACCATAAGCCCCACGGTTAAGAAATTGTTAGATTGATGGAGGAGGAGGGAAATAAGGCTCATTAATGAATTAGAGGATTATAAAAATATTTTATGAAGGAGAAGGAACAAGATAAATGCTGAAGAATAGGGAGAGATTGTTTCAGATGGATACAGTAAAAAAAAAAAAATTTCCAAAATGAGACTGAACATGGGGGTAGAAGTGAGAAATAAAAAACAATGGGCTTTGTAAGTAACTTAGGTGCATGTTGGGCTCCCCTGGTGGCTCAGACAATAAAGAATCAGCCTGCAATGCAGGAGACCCAGGTTCAATCCCTGGGTCAGGAAGATTCCCCTAGAGAAGGGAATGGCTACCCTCTCCTGTAATCTTGCCTGGAGAATCCCATGGACAGAGGAGCCTGGCAGGCTACAATCCTTAGGGTCACAAAGAGTTGGACACGATTGAGTGACTAACACTTTCAAGTATAGGTGCATGTTGCTGGGTTGGAGGTGGAGGGCATTTTTACAGACATGCATTTGTAATTTTAGGTATCAGGGTAGAGATAACATGTAGCCAACCCACCGCAAGTGGCCCATCAGCCTTAGGCATTTAAGGGCATTTAGGTGTATCTGCTATACACCATGGCAGCAGTTTCCACAAGACCAAAATAGCAAAGAAATAACTTGTTTCAGCCAATTGTGCTACTGCCAACCATCCTTTCTTTTGCCCTCCGAAATGAGAGGCTCAAGTCTCTGTTCATGACCCTGTAGAGAACTGGGGTCATCTCAGCCATTTCCAGGCTGATGAGGATTATATACATCATCACTGACTTGTTTAGTCAAGTTCAGGGAGCTGTCACATTTACTTGTGTTTTAATTTTATGACTCTTAGCAGTTTGGCCTTCATTTAATATGCAGTGAGTCTTGGCTAAAAGCTGAGTTCTAAAAATCTGCTTCATTCATGCAATAAAATGTTCATAGATTGCTACTTTGTATCAGGTACTGTACTTGGTCCTGACTGTACCTGAGTGAATAAAAGAAACATCCTTGTAGCCTTGCAGCTTATGGTCTTATGGGGGAGAGTGAAATTTAAGGAACAAGCGGAAGTCAAAATGCTGTTGCCATTGCGATAAGTACTGTAAATGAAAGAATGCTGAAGGAGAGAGGATGGGAAGCCCACTTTTCATTAGGCTATTAGCGAAAGCCTCTCAGAACAAGTAACTTGTTACACTGCAACATGACATGAGGTGTGATAACAGTGGTTTCGGTACCTGCTGATTTTTGTTGAAATCACGCACTCTAGGAAGGCTTTCTCAAGTAGGAGATATTTAAGGGTAAGTAGGTATTTATAGGAGCATAGGGAGAAGATCTTTATAAATTGGTTCAGAAAAAAAATGCCTGTAAGCTCTTGATGTTACTGGTTGGGGGACGCAGGCAGCTATAGGAATTGTAAATTATTTCTAGAATCTTAAGCCCAGTTAATATAATATATAAGTAATTGAATAAAAATACAGGCATGATCATAATTCAGAAAATGGTAGATTTTGAATTTTGTCTACAACATTTTAATATGGCCAATACACTGTTTTGTTATCCTGTCTTTTGAACTTGGCATATGTATAAGCCAGATTGTGAAAGACTTGATTTTCCCCCCAGGTGTTTATTGTTTTTTAATTACTATGAAAAATGCAAACATAAGAAAATTGAATCATGTAATGAATTGCCATATACCTGTCACCTAAATATAATAATTAACATTTTTCCATTGCTTCATTTTTTAGCTGAAATGTCTTAAAAATGTGATGTTTTCCCCAAATGCATAAATAATGCATTTCTGAAAAATACAGTTTCCTGCATAACCATAAAACCGTCATCAGTCATAAAAAAACGAACAATAAGTCCCTAATAATACCTAAACCAGTCCTTGTACATGTTCCCTCAGTTACCCCTGAGAAGGTCCACATAGTCCATTTGCTTGAATCATACCTCTCTTTGGTCTCTTAATCTAGAATAGTTCCCTCAACCCATCCAACTTTTTATTTTCTTTCTTGTACTACATTTTCTTGTTGAGAACAGTTGACTGTTCTGTGCTATCCCACCTTTTGAATTTGTCTGAATATGTCCTCTTTTCTTGGATTTCCTGTAAGCTGAATGAGGTCTGAAAACTTGATTATATTCAGATTACCTTTCACACTTGAACAGCTTGGTCAGTTAGGGGCACCAACTTTCTACACAATCAAATGTTACAAGTGTTAGTTGCTCAGTCTGTCTGACTCTTTGCGACCGCATGAACTGTAGCCTTCCAGGCTCCTCTGACCATGGGATTTTCCAGGCAAGAAAATGTTGCTGGTCCTCCATATAATATGCCTGTTTTTTCCATATCCTTGGTTCGACTGTATCCAGGGCTCTTGTACCCACAGATTCAACCAACAGCACTGAAAATCATGTGGTACTCTTGTATTTACTGTTGGGGAAAATCTGCTTCACAGGTGGACCTGCACAGTCGAAACCCCAGTTGTTCAAGGGTCAATTGTATATATTTATCGTTTTTAATTATAGAGAAATATTTTTAAAAAAAAGAGAAATCCCATACTTTGTCTTCTAGTATAACTTCTGTCCTGCTTACTCTCCCTCCCTTTCTCCACATATGAGAATATAGTTAGAAAATCCAAATAATACACCAGTACAGAAAGACACAAAATAACCAGAAAGCTTCTCTCCACTTTTCTCCAAAGTCAATGACTGATATTTTTCTTTCCATATGAGAATTTGCATTTACCAGCATGCTTAAATGTGATTTGTTTTTTAATTATATCAAATATGACTTTAAAAACAACCTTTGAAAAATAAAGTAAAAACAACCTTTGGGCTAAACTGACTCATCCACAGCTTTCTAGGTAATGTTCTATTATTGAACTTCTAAAAGCATGTGTTTTAAAGGTTCTCAAATGATTTAAACTAGTATTTACATTTTATTGTTTTAAACTACACGATTTGGCTTCTTCGCTTAGAGACTCCTCCACACAGACAGCCAAGGAAGCCAATGATGATCTGACTGAGTCCAAACAGCATCTCGAGAATGCCCACGAGCAGCAGACCTAAAAATACTGAGAAATGGATAATCCTGTGTTTGTTTTCTATAGAATTGAAGTGCAAGTTGTGTACTCTCCAGTTACTGGCCGTTGTGTTGGTGATGGAAGGGTTATCAGAATCCGTAGGAGGAACACAAGAGTCTTCGAAGAACCACTGCAGATCAAAGGATTCGTGGTAATTGGCACTGGAAAAAAAGGAAAGAAATGATAAAAAAATAAATAAATACTCAGAAATACTACTGACCATCTTGAGAATGCAGCGTGGCCTCCAGAAAAGGACATGTCCAGTAAAACAGACACTGCTTTTAAAATATTGTGCCCTGCCCCCCCCAAAAGAAAATATTGTGCCCAGAAACTGTCACTAGGATCAGGGTTCCAGAGGATGTACCCCTGTATGCTTAACAGCTATAAAATGTTGATTCATTATGGATCTCATCAACAAGCACTTCTAGGGCTTCCCTGGTGGCTCAGTGGTAGAGAATCTGCCTGCCAATGCAGGGGACACAGGTTCGGTTCCTGGTCCAGGAAGATCCCACATGCTGAGGGCAACTGAGCCCGCAACTCAGGCACAGCTACTGAGCTTGCGCTCTAGAGCCCGGCAGTCACAACTCCTGAAGCCTGTGAGCCCTAGTGCCCATGTTCCGCAACAATAACCCCCACTTGCTGCAACTAGAGAAAACCCGAGCAGCAGCATAGCCGTAAATAAGAAAAGTGAAAGTGGTGGGTTGCCATTCCCTTCTCCAGGGGATCTTCCCACACCGGGAGCCCAACCCGAGTCTCCTGCGTTGGCAGGCAGATTCTTTACCACTGAGCCACCCAGACGGAAGCCTTCTGATTTCCTATCCCAGCTCTATTAGTAAAGGGAGTCTCTGGATTTTGATTCACAACTGTGGTGTGCAAATTTTGAGAGATTTTTCTTTTTTAACCATTCAAGATAGGAAAAAGGAGGAGCAATTTTTTTCTATGACCACAAAAGTGAATTCTAGTTGTTTTCCGTACTGAACAATATATAATTAATGAATGAGATTGTTATTTACTCTCAGTTTTACCAGTTGTGCCTAGATTAAGGCACAGAACCATTTTAGAAGACTGAAATGAACCATTACCATGTAACTCTTCAACATTACTTGCTACTCCGTGACTTAAGCTTTTGATTCATCCCCATGCCTATAGGGTATTTATATTATGTTTGCATGATTCCGCTGGCTGCTGCTCTGGTATTTTTTGGGGCTTAGTGGTAAGCCTCTAGATTTTATTTGCTTACTGTGTTTTTGTTCAGATTTTCAAAGTAATATATGCTTAGGTTTTACAAGTATAACTGGCCTTCCCTCAGGCCAGGCGGCAAAGAATTCACCTGTAATGCAGGAGACCTGGGTTCGATCCCTGGGTTGGGAAGATCCCCTAGAGTTGGGACTGGCAACCCATTCCAGTATTCTTGCCTAGAAAACTCCATGGACAGAGGAGCCTGGCGGGCTACAGTCCATGGAATGTCAGAGTCAGACATGACTGAGTGACTAACACTTCCACTCATTGTGCCACAAGTTTGCTTTGATCAGAATTAGTGCTCCCTTCACTCATTACCATTCTTCAAGGATGGAAGTTTCTGGTGCACATTTTCAGAAATTTTTTATATACGTGCACATATGCTGCCATAGATTTTTGACAGACAAGGATAATCTGTTTTAGCCAAGACCATACCCAAAGCATTCTGAATGCAGTGATTCCTCCATTTCTCTGAGGTTGGGCCAACTGGGGTTACTGTACTAAATCTGTAAGACCGTCCCGTGAGAGAAAACACGGCACCGGGTCAACACCACATTCTTCTAACCTGATTAGCTGCAGCTGTGTAAGGAAGCAAACGGTTACTCACGTTAAGTTTTTAAGTGAAAATTCACAACTGGAAGTTGCGTTGCTTTGAGAGTTGCAAATGAGAGGGCCCTCCACGAGAGCCTGGATGGACACCAGCAGGCAGTATGCAGCTCCAACGACTGTGATGGCATTCAGAAGTGATGAAAGAAACATCTGAAAAATAAAGTAGGCACGTTTGCACACATTATTACATGAGCGTAGTCTGTCGCAAGTTTCAGCAGCATATGTGGTCTTTGTCGTCCACCACTGCCATTGTCCAGCTACCTTACAGACCTCAGTCTTAGGATCTAGGTGTGATTAGGCGGGACTTCTGCAAGAAAGCAGAGGGCAAGGTCCCTGCCATTCAACTAGACTTCAAAAGATCACTGGTCTTGGACTTCCCCTGGTTCCGTGCTTAGGAATTTGCCTGCCAATATAGGGGACACAGGTTTGATCTCTGGTCTGGGAAGATCCCACGTGCCACGGGTCTAATAAGCCTGTGCACCACTGTGACCTCACATGCCTAGAGCCCACGCTCTGCAAAAGAGAAGTGCGCATGCTCTCGCTAGAGAAAGCCCACACACAACAACAAAGACCCATTGCAGCCACAACTAAAAATAAATAAATGATCATTGCCATTGTTTCTGAAAAAGCTGAACTTTATGCTCTACCTGAACCTTGTCCATTTCAATGGACCACTACAACGTGTCAGGACCAGAGAGAGACTATAAATAACTAACAAAGTAACTATAATGCTAGATAAATACCAAATGTCAGAAAAGGTATTTTTTAAAATTAATTTTATAATTTATGGTTATCAATATGTTCACTTTTAAACAGTGGCTCTTACCCCTGGGAGCATATTAGAATCACTTAAAGTGCTTTTGAAAAATACTGATATAGGATCTTAGGGAGGGCCACAAGCCATGGGTATTTTTAACATTTTCCCTAGGTGGTTCTAATGTTCCCATCAAGCTGGGAATCATTGCTTTAAAGCCTTAGCCAGCCAGGAATATTTACTGTGATTTCTGGTTTATTGATCTGCTTGCTTCCTGAAAGAATTGTGAGAGGAGTCCTCAGAGTTCCTGTGTGACCATGTTCATGGCATAAAGACTGGGAATTTTGGAATCTGATGGTGGCAGTGTGGATACAAATCTACCTGCTAATGGTGTAACACTGACAGTTATTTGCTTCCTCTGAGGATTAATTTCTCAGTCAATAAAATAGAAATCATAAAACATGGATTTTCAGAAAAATAAGATAACATGCTCGAAAATGTTCTGAGTACAGTGAGAGACTGGAGAAGGAAATGGCAACCCATTCCAGTATTCTTGCCTGCATAATCCCTTGGACAGAGGAGCCTGGCAGGCTGTAGTCCACGGGGTTGCAAAAAGTCATACAAGACTGAGGGACTAACACACACACAGTGAGAGGAGGTTAGTAAATATTAATTTTCTTTACTTTTCAAACTTACTTTTTTTTTTGCTGCACCAAATGGCATGTGGGTTTTTAGTTCCTTGACCAGGCCAGGGATCAAACCTGAGCCCCCTGCATTGGAGGTGTGAGAGTCTTAACCACTGGACCACTAGGGAAGTCCTCCTTTACTTTTGACTTAGTTACAATCTTAAACAACCTTATATATACCAAAATGCTTGGGGGAAAAAATGGGATGTTCTCTTTTAACTTAACTGCCTAAGGAAAATTAACATTCTGTTCCTAGTAAACCGGTCTTTCACGTGCATAAGAAAACTGAGAGTACTTTTCCCTAAGTATTTTATACACATCACAAAAATAACAAGTACTTGAATATTATGAAACTGATTACAGCTCTTAGAGTGACTTATAAATCTCCTTTCTTTGAAAACCTTTAGACTGAAACTGAAGATTGAGGAAAGGTCCGAAAGCTGGCTCCAAAAATAAAGTTTTACGGGAAAGCAGAAAGACCAACTTCAGTCTCAGTGTTATCGTCTAAATCCTCCTAAATAGCGTGTGTCTAGGACCAGTCCCACCACTGGAGTCACACAGCTGACGCAGTTGATGCTGACGCCTCGGCGACTTTGCTGAGATGCCGGGAACTGCTGCTGCCCTTCTGCTCCCGGACCAGCCACACTGTGCTCACCCCGGTTTTGTTGTTGCAGCACGCTCTTTTCCTCGCGGCCAAGGACATCGTTGTTGCTGGAATGGCCTGGAAATTGCATCAACAGGAACGATGAATATGATTACTTCTCAGCAGATGATAAAGCAGTAATCTTCACATTCTGCTTACCAGCAGTTGTGGGAAGCCAAGGCTTAAGAGAACAAGAAGGAAGTGTAGCAATGTCCTTTATCTTGTGATCCCCGTTTGGACCACAAAGATTACAAGGGAGGGCAAAGGATAGGGGATTTCAGGATAGCAGTTTCAGACTTTCCCGTCTACATTTTAACACTACTCTGAGTCATCATGAGAGAGACTTGGATTTTAAATACAGTGAGTTATTTATTAATTATGTTGAAAGGAATGTTTCTGAAAGTGTTGGTTGCATCATCCAAAATTCACTTTTTTTTTTTTTAAACTATAATCTGCAACCACTTACCCAATTTCCCTAAAACTGTGTGAATTAATCCAGCAAGTGTTCAGAAAGGAAATTGATGGTTTTGTCTGCCTGGCAGTTGGGAATTAAGAATTCTATCATCACCCTTATCCCACTCCCAGGGTCACCGCCACCAGCTCCCTCATTCCCCAAACTTGTGATTTGCGGATTATTTTTAGCTCCACATTCTCCTTTCTACTCCTGTGTCCATGGCATGAAACAGTTTCACTTCCCATTGATGTTTAGAAATCTTGTATTACATTCGATATCGAAGGAATACATACTGCTGGTGAAAGCTATAAGGAATGATGTCACATTCTCAGGAGTCAAGTTCAGATGTTTACAAATAACTAGTCGGCAGCTGGGGCAGGAGACATAGGAGATGTGGGCTGGATCCCTGGGTGGGGAAGGTCCCCTGGAGGAGGGCATGACAACCCACTCCAGTATTCGTGCCTGGAGAATCCCATGGACAGAGGAACCTTGGTGGGCTGCAGTCCATGGGGTTGCAAAGAGTCAGACACGACTAAAGCGACTGAGCAGGTGCTCATGCAGTCAGCAGGTATGACTAGAAATTCTTCCTGAAAGAAGTTTTGTATCGTTGAAGGGAGGGATGTTGATTACTTCCTTCCACTTAAGAAATTTTAGCCACAGGCTTTTTTGTTTTTTTGTGTGTGTGTTTTCTTTTTTTTTTTTTGCCATCTCAGCACAGCTGCCCTTGGGTAGTTCTCTGTCCTCCCACTCTTTTCTTTCTAACATTTTGTTGAGTTATAACAGCATGTGTTTTAGTTTATTCACAACCTCGTAAAAATCCTATGAGGTAGATGCTAGTTATCCCCATTTCACTGGGGCGGAAAACTGGAGTCCAGAAAGCTTGAGTAACTTGCCTGAGAAAGTGGAAGAGATGGGGGAGAGGGGGGTCAAAGCTGGCCACTAAGGTTCCAGAGCCCAGACTCTTAACCACCATTCCAACCACACTGGCCAATTCTTAACAATTCTCTTTTCCTTCACAGAGCTTATTTATTCTCATCCCTACCACGACCGTCACCTCCCTCAGTCATCTTAATGTCCTCCTAATTGCTCCTTCCCCCCAATCTATCTTTCCAATACAATGTCTACCTTTATCCTTTCAGAGCAGATCTAAGATTGAATACCTTGGTTTAGTCACTAAGTTGTGTCCAACTCTTGGGACCCCATGGACTGGGAATCTACCAGGCTCCTCTGTCCGTGGTATTTTCCAGGCAAGAATACTGGAGTGGGTTGCTATTTCCTTCTCCAGGAGAACAGCCTTACAAGGCAGCTTTCCTGACAAACTTCACCCTTCTCTGACCATGAGCTGACTCCGAAAACACTTTGTCTCTTTATCAAGCTTTGCTTACAGACTGCCTTGAACACCAGCACCCTTATGATTCAGAGGGCACATGTATGTATGGTAGCCTAGACCCTCAATTGCTGAGAGCCCAGAAGCAAAGAGGAAAGAAATTTATGCACCCAAATAGGTGTCAGTGTTCACGGGCTAAATGTCTTATGTTCTACCTGTAAATGATACTGCCTTCTGAGCTTAAGGAACAAATTGTTTAGAGCAGGAACTGGCAAACTATGGCCCACAGCCGCTTTTTTGTAAAGTTTTATGAAAACACAGACATGCCCATTCACTTACTTAACTTTTCATGCTGGTTTGGTGCACAAGCAGGAGAGATGAACAGTTGTGAGGGAGACTGTCTGGCTTCCAGAACTTAAAATATTCACTACCTGGCTTTTTCGCAGGGAAAAAAAAGCTAACCACGATTTAGAAAATTAATTAATCCGTTAAAAGAAAATTGGAGCATCCATTACAATATAATTTAAATGGATAAGTCATTCCAGGTTCCTTATTGATATAAATTAAACTCTGCTAAATTTCTTGAAGATTAATTTCAGAGATGCTGAAAGAGATACATTCATAGTTCCCTTCTCTTACAAAGGGGTTTTATAAATAATAGCTTTTCAAAAAAATAAATAAATAATAGCTTTTCATATATGAATCCTCACCTGGTTGACTTCTGGCATGTTGACACATCTTTGTTACATTATTACTGGTAACTTGATAACTCATTGTATTTCAACCATTTTGCCCATTCAGAACTTTGGAGATTAGAGGGATTCTTTATAGGATTTACATTAAAATGTGCAAGTGTGTGTGTGTGTGTGTGTGTGTGTGTGACTGAATTATAAATCTTCCAGTTTGTCTTCTACAAAAATAAGTAATCTGGAGAATACTCTTTCTCTTCAACTCTTAAGCACATTAGAATATATCAGAGTTTTTGTGAGCCTATTTTTCTTGATAGTCTTTTGTTTTTATAAAGAAAATTAGCATTGTTCCTTTTCATTACAGAAGCCCAGACTTTCATCCAATTTTAGAAATAAGGCATATGATTTCATAAGAAGTCCAGAATAGCTTTAGATCACTACAATTCTGTTAGAATGCAGATTTCTGGGACTCGTCAAAGTACTTGAAAATGAAAGTAACACACAAAACCATGGTTCATTATAAATATAAAAACTGTATTTTGAAAATTCTTATTAAACAGTATTTTCTAATTTGTTTAACATTCAACAATTTCTACTCTAAGACTTTAATAATTGATTAATTATTACATGGTAAGTGAACTCAATAAATAATCATGATTAAGATTAGGCTTATAATTAACCTGTAAAATAAAACAGTCTTTATTTTTTAGAGGAAATATTTCAAGGAAACATTTCAAGTTGTTTTTTTGGTACTTGGGAAAAGAATGTGTATTGATTTTCCATTTAGTAGATAATACATGAAGATAGTAACATAATATTTGAATACTCTTAGTCATGGTTTCAAAGATGAAAAGATTCGTTTCTGTTTTGGGTAAATCATAAAGCCATAAAATAACTGTATTTTATGAAGAGATCGATGATGAATTCCTTAGTTTTTATTATTAACTACTTCCTGCAAAATTCCCTGTTTTTGAAACTAATTTAAAATGCTACAGATTAGAACTGGATTTCAAGAACTATGACGAAAGCACTTATTAAGGGAGTGATTTCTTCTTCATTAACTTTTCTGTGTATATATAAATATATTGAGAGTTCAATATTTTGAACTAAGTCAGTATTTAGATTGATGTAAAGGACACAATTCCCTTTGAAAAACATATTCTTTCATATTCTATACATGGCCGAGGATTAAGAAAATAACCCTTCTATCATCCACCTATTTGCTTGTGAGCCTATTCTAGAGTTTGAATCTCTGTCAATAAAATGTCTTTTGAATGCTTCAGAGAGTGGTTGATGCTGTGAAGATGCATGATACTGAGTAATAGCAAGAACCTGGTGTGATAGCAATATATTGTTAGTATTTCTTGAGGGTGATCAAGGAAACTATCTGGAAAGAAAGTGCAGATTCTCTGAAACAGTTTCATACTTGTGTAATCTTTCTATGCTTTGGTTTCCTGGTTACTTGAGTTTATGGGTGAAGTTGTAGATTTTGTCTTTCCCTTTGTCAGCCTGAGATATGTGGTGAGGATTATGGTGCTAATACTGATGGGAAACAGAGGTTTGGAATCTGATAAATCTGGAATTGGGTTTCACACCTACTGTGCTACCTTGTTAACATTCTCAACCTTCTCTTGGTCTGTTAAAATGCAAATGTTAATAACTACTCAACCAGATTTTTATAGAGTTTAAATAAGATAGTGTAATGTATGAAGTCAGTGGCCTCTCTTTCTCTGTTTCATATATAATGACCCAACAGCAAGGAGATCGAACCAGTCAATCCTAAAGGAAATCAACCCTGAATATTCATTGGAAAGACTGATGCTGAAACTGAAGTTCCAATACTTTGGCCACCTGATGTGAAAAGCCAACTCATTAGAAAAGACCCTGATACTGGGAAAGACTGAAGGCAGAAGGAGGAGACAACAGAGGACGAGATGGCTGGATGACATCACCAACTCAACAGACAGGAGTTTAAGCAAGGTCCGGGAGATGGTGAAGGACAGGGAAGCCTGGCGTGCTGCAGTCCATGGGGTCACAAAGAGTCGGACACGACTGAGCAACTGAACAGCAACAACAACAACAAAGACCGTTTTCTTGTAAGTCAGGGAATAAGACTGAGAACAGTAACTGATCGTCATTATAACACAAAGGCACATCCAAACAAGGGTGGCTTTCTCTAGCATCCATGAGACCACCCTTAAGTAGGCCCTCAATGGTATAACAAAAACAAGCCTCTTGAATGCTGAATTTTTCAACTTTAATTACATTCCCACTTTTACTGATATGGAAGCAAAATCACAAGATAAAGGATTTGCTAGTAGTAATATACTGGGGACACAACCAGAAAGGAGATATTCTGCCAGGTCTGAAAACAAGATTTGTTGCCACACCATGGGTCATGCCTAAACCACCTGCAACAGAATCCCCAGGAAAAGGTATATAAATCTGCAGGTATTACAAGTGCCTGGGGTGATTTATGGCCAGGTACGTTGGGCAGTTCTACCTTACACTGCTCGGCTACAGACTTCAACAAAGATAGACCTATTAATAATTATCAAACTTTAAACAAGCACCATGATGTTTGGGTTGTAAGTAAGATCTCCGTCAAAAAAGTCCCTGAGGTTAGAGACAGCCAGGGTTTCAAGTCCCAAACCTCTTAGATCAACTCCCCTAGGTGCAGGCAGTGTCATATTCATGCCTCACAATTTTCATCCAGTAGGTTCACTGGGCATGGAATGTCCCTCCCCCTTCCTACTGAGCACTTCCCACTCCTATTGTATTCCCTGTAAATACCTAGAGACTGGGATTGGCAAAGGAAAGCTGAGGCAACAAATTCAAAAAGTCTTTACCACTACCTCTGAAGCTTGGGAAAGCAGACTTATAGGCGAAGAAGTATTGAAATGGAGCAGCCTCCTATGATCCTTGCCCCCCAGGTCCTCAGCCTGCCTTTTGTTTGTGGAAAAACTTTAGCCAAAGAATAAGGTTAATTAGAGAAGTGGGAAAATGCAGAAATAAAAGAAAACAGTGAAAGGAGACTAAATGATAACAATGTAGTCTAATTAATTAAACAGGCTTCCCTGGTGGCTCAGATGGGAAAGAATCTGCCTACAATGCAGGAGACCCGGGTTTGATCCCTGGGTCGGGAAGATCCACTGGAGAAGAGAATGGCTGCCCACTTCAGTATTCTTGCCTGGAGAATTCCATGGACATTTAAATTCTTTCTCAAGTGCTGTAGGTAATATTCTGAGCCATATTCTGTGAGCTGTCTTATAGATACTGAAATCCCCGCCAGATGGAAAAAGTTAACTACGTGGCAACCAGAATGTAGCCATGCCATAAGCGGCCACAATTCTGAGAACCGGCCTCAAGAAGATTGGACTAACTGAAACTGAAGACTAACTGTACCTAAAACAATCGAGATGACTCTGGTCAGACCACTGGTGACCGATTTCAAGATGACTGTCAGAGCTGACTGTACTGTTGCATGTAGCCCCCTCCCTCTGTCTATAAAAGCTCTTGCCCACTGATTGTTAGTTTGGGAGAGTTCGATTTTGGACAGGCATCCCCCCTTCCTCCCCAGCCCCACACAATTGCTGGCATCCAAAATAAAGCAAAATTTCCTTTCCACCAGCCTGAACTCTCATGGCTTTTGAGCAGTGAGCTGCCAGACCTGGATTTGGTAACAGTATGATACATAATAACCCAACCAACTTTTATCAATGTATTATTATTTTTTGGCCCAAGCTCCCTAGCCTATACCACGGTTCATTTAAATTGCCATTCTTCACTGATGCCCATATAAGTTAATACCATACCCATTTCCCCGCAGTATATCCTAAGCCAGGACATAGCTCACTGCAAGGCTGAAAGGTTGTCTTTAGATCATCTTCAATATAATAAACAAGCCTTCCCAAAATTGAGTCAAATAAATTTCACTCACCATCACACCTGCTCCAATAATTCCAGGGAACCACCATTCAAAGCAGGAGATGGGGTTTTCAAAAAATTGGTCTTCATCCACATAGTTGACAATTAGAGGTATTGCATTGAGAATTACTCCCAACAGAAGTAGAACCAGCAGGCTGAATCCATTGCAGGCTGTCCATCCTTCGCAGCAGGTCATGGTCACCCCTGGTTTAGGAGGAGTCCTGTCTGGGTGGCTGTTTGTCTGGCACTGTTTTGCCTTTTGTCCTGTGCCTTCTAGTTAAAGTTCAGCACTTATAAAAAAAATTACAGAAAGCAGGTCAGAGTCCAGTAGGGCAGGACATTATTATGAGTATTACAGGAAGTAAGGATGATTTTATATTATGATGGGGTGGAGGAAGATAGGTGGAAAAAAATCCAAGAGTGCTACTAGATAAATTTATGCATGCAAATAGGGAAAAAAAAATCTTTAAAAAAGTTTAAGATTCGCTCTTCTAATACATTTTATGTTTTACTCGTATGGCATATAAAAAGTAAAAATAAGAATATCCAATTAATATAACCTATTTTTTCTTGTAGTGATATTAATATCAACTATGAAAGTTCCTTATTTTGAAGTTGTTCAACAAAAAAAAAAGAATATATATGAGATTGGGAGAAAAAAAATTTTTCTCCGCTGCAAACATTCTTAATTAGTCGAAATGTTAGGGCTCAGTTTCAGGCTGTATGCTCATACACACAAAACAGGCTTTCTACTTCTTAATCTCCGTGCTATGAAGACTGACTCTGGGTCCTGTCTTCGTTTCCTGAGATGCCTCTATGTTCTTTTTTTTAATCTATTTTTTAATTGAAGGATAATTGCTTTACAGAATTTTATTGTTTTCTGTCAAACTTCCACATGAACCAGCCACAGGTATACACATATCCCCTCCCTTTTGAACCTCCCTCCCATCTTCCTCCCTACCCCACCCCTCTAGGTTGATGCAGAGTCCCTGTTTGAGTTTCCTGAGACATACATCTAATTCCCACTGGCTATCTATTCTTATAATAAATTTTCTCTTTGTTAATACTTTAAGTGGGTTTCTTTCTTTTTTCTTTTCTTTTTCTCAAACAAAAGCTGGAAGTTACACCAAGGATAGAAAAGTATACAGATAACTTGTCACATGCCATACTAAAACAGCAAAAGAAGTTCAGAAAAAAAGAAAGGATTCTATCAAGATGGGCAAAGAATCAGGATTCCTCTAGGCTTTGGAAGATGGCTAGAATTTGACACAAAAAGATGGTCAGAATAGTACTTTGTGTATCAAAGTCAGTTGCAGAAAACCCAAACCCTTCTGGCTATATTAAGCTGGAGGAAGTATAACTGGGGAATCATGTGTACAAAACCGCTGGGAGGTCTGGAGGGGCAGGCTCCAGCGTGGCCTCCAGGAATGCCTCCCAAGACGTGGCTGCAGGGGAGCTTCTGCCTCTGCAGTCCTCAGAAAGGCGGGGAAATTGAGAAACCACCTCTGCAACGGTCAGACTCAAGCCCACACCATGACAGTCACAGTCCACGGAGCCACGGCCATTGCTGCTGCCCCTGCCCCTCCACACACACAAGGGTGGTAACAAGACCCCGGAACACTGAACTTGACTTCTGCTTGTCGCCTCCTCCCCCACCCATCTTCCTTCAGAGCCACAGATGGAAGTGGCTGAAAGAGGGCCTCCACCTCCTTGCCATCTTCCAGTGCATGCTGAGTCGCTTCAGTCTTGTCTGACCCTGCGTGACCCTATTGACCATAGCCCGCCAGGCTCCTCTGTCCATGGGATTCTCCAGGCAAGAACACTGGGATGGGTTGCCATTTCCTTCTCCAGGGGATCTTTCAGACTCAAGGATCGAACCCGCATCTCATACATCTCCTGCATTGGCAGATGAGTTCTTAACCACTAGCACCATCTGGGAAGCCCTGCTGCCTTCCATATTGTTATCAAAAGTAGGGTCTGGCTGCTTGCTGCTCAAAAGCCAATAAAGAAGCAAACTGGGGGGAAAGGAAAGTTTGCTTTATTTCAGATGCCAGCAACTGAGGGGCGGACAGACTCCAGTCCAAAGGCTGACTCCCCTGTTGCCCCCCACCACTGATAATCATGGTGCAAGAGCTCTTATAGGCCGAGGCAGGGGGCTACATGCAAAAACAGCACAGTCAGCTCTGACTGTTATCTTGAAATTGGTCATCGGTGATCTGACCAGCATCATCTTGATTGCTTTAAATACAGTTAATCTTCCATTCCAGGGTTGGTTTGTTCTCGTTTCCTTGAGACCAATTGTCAGAATTGTGGCAGTTTATGTCATGGCTACAGTCTGGTCATCCTATGGTTAACCTCTCCCCCTGGGGTTTCAGTATCTATAAGACAGCTCACAGGACATGTCTCAGAATATTACCTATAGCTCTTGAAGAGGAACTAAAGGTCCTTGTCTTTCCTTAATGACAAAGCTATCATTTGGTCTCCTTTGACTGTTTTCCTTTGTTTCTGCATTTTCTCACTTCTCTGATTAAACTTATTCTTTGGTTAAAGTTTTTCTGCAGACAAAAAGCAGGGTAACTACATGGAAGAAGAGGCAAGGACAATAGGATCTTCCTCTGTTTCAATGTAGCACAAGGACTGATCTCATCACTGCAACATCCAGACCTTAATGGTAGAGTATTCTGGAAAATGTAGTGTTTAATCATCACAATCTCTACTGTACAGAAACGTATACTAGAATGACATTGATACGGACATCGAGCAAGATAATTCACCATAGTGATTCCATTTAAATGGTATGGAAGGAAACTTTCTCTAGAGTATGGAGTATTACCATTACTATGTATCATTTAAGTGATTTTCATCATGTTTCTGTTTCTTCCATGGCTTGGATGTCTAGAGTGTCTAGATATACTTACATGTCTAGGCTGACATGTAACATTCCAAATGGGAACAGTCTTAAGAATATTAGGAAAATGTGTTTCCTCAAGACAGAAGAGAGTTAAGATATGAGAGAGCATGGAGTCATGGTCAAGTCATGTTTGTGGCACTGGTGAAAATAAGAGGTAATGAAAAAGCACTTTGTTCTGTTCTTTCCCCCAACCCGAAGCTTCCCCTCCCAGTCCCATGCACACTGTGGACCTAGGAGCAGTAAGGATCATAGTCAAACATCAGGGACCACGTTTCCTAAAATTCTCTAGCTTTTACCATCTTCTGCCCACCCACGTGAAAGGTTATGTGATCTTAAGCAGCTCCAACCGTGCTCTGAGTGCGCCTCACAGAACTCTGGGTAACTACCCCAGGAGGAATTCATGCAATATTGAATGGGTATTAAACACCCACCCATGTCCTGTCAGGCATCCTCGTCTAAACACACTCCAGTCAACCCAGTTTTATTAGAACTTGGGCTTTATACACAGATATGGCTAACTTTTAGCTTTCATTAAGACAGTGGTTGAGAAGTGTCTGGGAACTATAGTTCCCAGTTTCCCATGCATCTAGTTTGGGCCATGTGACTTCTTCTAACCAATGAGAAGTCACTTTCAATCTAAGACACTTACAAAGTGACGGACGTTATCTATTTTCTTCTTTTCCATCCATAGTTTGCAGACAAGTAAGCTGCCTTGGAAGTCATGTGCTGAAAATATCAGCTTTCAGCAACCTAAATCTCTACCAGTTAGAGGCCCCATGCCCTTCCCTTTCTGTCCATCTAGAACTGTTCAAGATAGTTGACATCAACAAGCAATAAATATCTATTGCGTTGTCATCATATAATGTGTCAGTGTTAGTGTAGCTAGCATTACCCCCAGTAAACCCAGTGTATCCCTTGTCTTTGGCCTAATAACCTTCCTAACCTTTGCAACATGCTGTCAGACATCAACAATGTCACTCTCACCTCTCTGAAAAAGTGACATCAAAACAAGACAGTGAGATACCATATTTTCCTAGAGTTTTATTCATAAATTATATTCAGGAAGATTAGGGAACATTAGAAACTGTAAGAAATGTACAATATATAACAAATATGAGTAGGAAGCTATGCTTAGTCATGTCTGACTCTTTTGTGACCCCATGGACTGTGGCCCTCCAGGCTCCTCTGTCCCATGGGATTTCCCAGGTGAGAATACTGGAATGGTTGCCATTTCTGCCTCCTGGGGATCTTTCTAAACCAGGGATCGAACCTACATCTCCTGTGTCTCCTGCATTGCAGGTGGATTTTTTACTGCTGAGCCACCGGAGAAGCCTGTAAAGTAGGAATACAAGTGGAGAAATCCCAGAAACAGAAAAGTAAATGTTTCAAAAGAATGAAATATCTTTGAGAGTATTATTTCTTTCCACTGAGCTCATTAATAGGAACTCTTGCACCCTCAGTACCAAGCTTGCCTAGAGAATTTTGATTAAGGGATCATATTGGATTGAGAGCTGTTTATATATACATAAACAAATTTAATGCCCGCTATAAGCGAAGAATATACATGAGTCTGTGAGGTAGAGAAACTGTGGATTTAATTTTGAGAGCTCAGTAGATATATGTACTCCTAAAGCTGTAAAGGTTCATGGAGATTTAGTGCAATCTTTTTGCTGTATAGATGAGTAGGTAAGACAGTAAGATTCAGGGAAGCGGAGGTGACTCACTCATGGTTAGGTTGCTCTGGCAGAGCACTGATGTGAATTTGGGGTTTCTGACCTCCAAACAGTTGTCTTTCTATTAAAGTATAAGCTTGATGTTTAGATGAACCAGATGAGATGAAAGTTTAGGACATCTGAAAATCTAAGTACCTGCCAAGAGGATGCTGCCTAGTGGCAGCCTTGCTACTGACAACAGCCCTTACCACACCACAGCCCTCACCACAGACAACACTGCAGCCCCCACCACAGCCCCCACCACAGCCCCCACCACAGCTTCCACAACCACAGCAGACCATGGTGTCAGCAGAGAGGACTCAGGAGAGGTGAGGAGGGAGACTCAGGAGGGGAGGGAGGTCTGAATTCCTTCTGCTGGAGGAAGCCCTGGTTACTCTGTCTGGCTTGGCCGTGACCCAAGCACATGACTGGTTCTCTGTTGTTTATCTCAGTTTCCCTAGGAGAAGTTTACAGTGCCTCTGGTTTACTTCCTTAAGGACTTATGGCCTCATGAAAAAGCTTATTTCAGTTCTGAATTTATTTGTTTTAGGGACATATTTAGAATAGGATTATGAGGATCTGAAATATATTACTGTCGTCTTTATTTTCTGTTCGATCCATGCAAGTCTGACTCAGAAGTCTTAACTGAATCATAAACATGAGTAAAATTGCGACGTTTAATCTTTCCCATCTTTTGTTCAG